ACACCTTTAAATTTACCGCTGGATAGTTCTCATTTGTGGGGACAACATATCAAAAAATCAGTCCATTCGGATGAATGGTTCGGGAGTTATGGAACACTAAAGTTTTGACCGACCGCACGGACCATCTAGCCGAAAATAGTTCCATAAGTTTTGGCCCTGCGGTCGGTCTCCGTTTAGGCGAATAAAAGAGACGAAAGCCCTGCCATCCATTCGCATCTTTGTGATCGTTGAAATCCCCATACTAAGTTACAGGTAACTACCGAACGGCCGGTGATTCGGTCGTTCCCGTGCGAAGTTCTGGATGTATGGAGGTCTCAGCGGTGTTCGCCTGTTCGCGTATCCGATTTTAGTTCCACGCGTTGACGGGCAAACACCGCTGTTCGCACGGAAAATGGCCGCGGCCACGTGTAAAGTGCCGAAATGGCGGCCACCTATATTTTACACAGGGAATTCGCCTGAATCCATCCGAAGGGTAGAAATGAAAGCTATATGCCGAATTCCAGCTGAATTTGGTGAATTAACTGTACAAAAAAGTAGAAATCCTGATTAACGGAGTCATTTCTTCACACAACCCTTACACACAATGCATCCCTTACACACACAGAAACACACAATGCATTGATTACACACACTCAATGCATCCCTTACAGACGCACACACTGCATCCCGTACATACACAGAAATACACCTTGCAGCCCTTACACATACAAACACAGACTCACACAATGCATTCCTTACACACATATCAGGACATCCCCTACACACTCCACCCCCTGTGAACAAACTCATTGGTGGAACATGAAGGTGGACCCTGGGACCCAGACCTTGAGCTGTGTAAAGGGCCCCCAAAATATGGAGCTGCTTCCCGTTCTCCCAGAACATTGATTTTTGTGACTACAGTTACAAACCGCCTCCAGAGAGCCTGTTCTACACCAGACCAGTGGAGCCAGACTGCAGCTAGAGCCCATCATCATCCTCATCTGGTTGTAAGTAGGCAATCTAGTATATTATTCGTGGCACTAATCTCTAATTTACCTCACATTAAAGAAACACTATAGTCCCCAGAAACACTGCAGCTTAATGTAGTGGTTCTGGTGTCTATAGCCTATCCCTGCAGGCCTTTAATGTAAACACGGCGGCACTGCAGCACTGTCGTTAGTTTACATGACAAATCATATGGGTGGGGCATTGTGATGTCACATGGGGGGGCGTCAAACTTTACTTTTGCCTAGGGCGGCAAAATCCTTGCACCGGCCCTGCATGTCATGTGTCCTTAAGGGGTTAAACACTTGCTACAGAGAATATCATTATACATAGATGACATACACCATTACATTATTTAATGTGTCATGTGGTTTAGCATACTCAGAGCTTTCTCATGCATATTGGCAATCCATTTTGTGGTCGGATTATTGGTCTTTACATGTGGCTGTCCAACATTGGCAATCTTAGCACCAGAATCCCTTTTACATTGCTCTTTACCACCGTGCCTACCCTGATTTGCACTGTATTGCTCTGCTTAGTGTTACACATGCTGAGAATGTTGGGGAATAAATCTAGTTAGTGACATCTGGCAAACATGCCTGCAGATGTTAGTTTTCAGTATAACGTACTTACATTCAAATAGACTAGGTGCACTGACTCACATCATTACACCTTGTCCTGCATTGCAGTAGGTAGATCAGGGTCTTAATCAGACCCTGCAGAGAGACACGTAACCTGAAATACGGCAACAGAAAAGGACTGCAGCTTGTGTTACCATGGTATTTGTAGAATACGCTCAACTGGGGGATCATGGGAGTTATACTTTGACATCTATATATCACCAGTAGAATATCCATTCTTTCTCTCTTTTTTTTTCCTTTTTCTCCTGAAAATGTTATTTGTCTCATAAACAAAAGAGAAGGTCACAGAAATAAGAGAAAGGGGGAAGCATCATCGGCACACATTCCATCATACAACTGTCAGCGGAAAACCCAGGCGCATAGTCTACGGCACAACATAATAGATCTAATCGGGTTGATCGCATATAAATATAACATAAAGGAAAACAGAATAATAATGTTAACTCCATGGTGGCATAGTCACAAAATCTATACGTATAGTGTGAGAGTGTACTCTCTAAATTCTAAACCACTGGTGGAGTGCAAGTCAATACAAGATTGTAGGTGTAATAGGCTTCAGTGAAACCATGACAACTGAGAGGAAAAGCAAAGATGGGGTCTAATGTTTTAAAAGCTTAGCTAGACCGTAAGCCAGCCCTCACTTATTAGAACATAGATAAAGAAAAAGAAGGCCCAGGCACTACAATGCTTAAGGGTACGTTTATTGGAACCTACAGAACACAAACGTTTCAACCCTAAATTGGGTCTTTGACATAGACCTAGTTTAGGGTCGAAACGTTGCTGTGTTGTTCTGCTGGTTCCAATAAATGTGTCAGATAATGTGTCAAACAAAGATTACAATAAGTTGAGAGTACCCGATATCTATGAGTCCCATAAGTTCCACGCTTCTAGAAGTGTCTTAGTCTTAGAGTGGTGGAAAAAGTGATGTAAAACATCTTTCATAATTGCGTTTTGTCTGTTTCGGCAAGTAAAGTTGACACTGTTGGAGGTGAAGGAGATTTCCAAGCCCTTGCACTTTTAGTTGTTGTGCTGTTAAAATGATATGTAGCATTAGTTTCTGTTTACATCTGGGTACGGATTAGTATAGTAAGAGGTAAGTGAGGACTACAAAATTTATCGAACTTGTCATTTCTGTAAGCACTTTGTGAACATCTTCGCAAAATGTAACCAGAAGTTCACAATGCCATGACACATTAAGCATGGTACCCTAGGTGCATTAACATCTCCAGCAAGTTGAAGAAGTGTTGGGGAAAATATTGTGTAATGTAATGTTGCCTTTATCATCAGATGGTTGCTCTCATAATACTATTGTGACATTGAACCGTATGTGTCGGGTTAACAATATAAATTAATTTTTTTTTAAATCGGTTTTTATTTTTGGTTAACAATAATATGTACATTGTAGCAGTCAGTTTACTTTATTATTTGCTCTGAACAATTTAAAGATTTTAATCTGCATTGATGATGAATATGACATGTCTCTTCTAACCACAGTGAAATAGCGTGGGGTGGGAACCCAATTCGAAATCCTGATCCGGATGTTTAGAACCAATGACATTAAGTGGTATTAACAGAACTAAAGGGAAATTGTAGTCTAAGTAAGTGAATGTCGCTTCCCAAAATCAAAGGTTTGTGCTAAGGGTGTGAATAGGCGTTCTCCAACACCTGAACAGTGAAAATTAAAACAAACACAATGTGATTGAACACAATGTACAATACACCCTTATACAGTGTGTCTATGAATATTAAAATGGAAAAAAATATATACTCGTGAACAGAGGTATTGCTGGTTGGTGAATATCAAATGCAGAGACTATAACAATAAAAGATGCAACATAGTATATACTGTAAATATAAAATAGGTATATGTATAAGCAATGGTTGCACTCACGAATTGCAGAGTAAGGACAAAATTAAAAACAATATCTTGTAAATAAAATAAAAAGTTCTGAAGGACTTTTTATTTATTTACAAGATATGTTTGTTTTTTTTGACAATCTTTATTGATTCATTTTTTCCATTTTTGTCGAGTAAAGGAGGGGTTTACAGAAGGGAATAGAGGGAGGGAAGTCGAACAGTCGTTTGGGGTATACAAAAGCAGTAGTAAACCTTCACAATCACATAGCATTGCTTATTTTTGTGTTTACATATCACGAGTTAGTTGAGGACTGGAGGGTATGCATAGTGTCTATTGCTATTTACACCAGTCGGTATAGGTGTACGTCTTATGGCTCTCATAGTATCATACCCCTAACTATTTGGGTCTTCATGAAGCCCCAGGGCGTGATGTAAGCAAGGCGGGTGTGGAACCCTACCTGAGTCGGGTTGTCAATGGGCTGTGTATGTAGCGCTGTACAATGGGTACATATGCCGATTTTATATTTACAGTATACACTATGTGTTGCATCTTTTATTGTAATATGCTCTTCATTTAATATTTAGCAACCAGCAATACCTCTGCTCTGTATCTTTCCATTTTCATAGACACACTGTATAAGGGTGTATTGTACATTGTGTTCAATCATATTGTGTTTGTTTTAAAGGGAAATTGTGTCAAACTCCAATATAGACGCCAATTTCTAACAGGTGAGGGATTTAATTATAGATAAATTATGGAGAACAATCTATTTATTAACACGTTTTTCTATTATATGATAATACAAGGAAAATATGGTATTATTTTATTACTTATATAGCGCCATCACATTGCGTAGCGTTGTACATTGGGAGATATGTTTCCATAGCAACTGTGAACATGGCTTGCACAACACTCCAGATGTTGGGAGTACAATCTGTAATTGTACTAGAAATATGTTCAGTGGAGTATGGAATTTGGCAGAAGGTCCTAGAGCAGGGGTAGAGAGGCATTTTTCTGGGATACTTGCATGCAGGAGTTATTGGCGGCATCCTTACATTATTATTCCACAGATTAAAACAAACAGTGGGGCAGGATTTGTTAGTAGAAGTTTTTTCCATGACCTATTAGGCTGTAATATCAATGTCCTCCAGACCTGGACTAGTTCACTTTGATATTTTCTGGTGGGGTACAGTAACGTGCACCAGTTCTTAGTGGTAGCAATGGAATCATGAGAAAATGTGTGGACGCTAGTATAGCACAGATCTCTGAGAAGGCTCCAACATGATATAAAGGTTATACAGATGGAGCTCGCCGAGAGTTCTGTCAAATCCATACATTGCATGCCCAGCATGAGAAGGAAAACTAAATTGAGATCTGTGTTTTTGTTTTTTTTGGACCCCAAGGATTAGAGTTGCCAGCTCTCCCCTGACCTAGAGTCTATATTTATAAACCGGAGCACAATTAAAAAACAGTGTGTGTTGAGATATGCCAATAAAGAAGAAAAGACAAAAACAAGCTGCTGGATAGTGGATACTCATTTATTTCCCAAAAGTCCTCAATCATTTTTTCTACATAAAGGAAAAATATAATATATACACACATACAGTAAGCTGAGATAGCGATCCAAGAATTCACGTGCTTTAAAATCATGCTTTGGATACATTTGCTGTATAACACATTCATGGTCTCAAAATGCATTCTTTTCCAGTAGCCAAATTGACCCCTGTCTTATGATTGTCTTTCAATCTGCTGCATTGGTTGGAAAAGAAACGACACATCGAAACTTCAATTCTGAAATATGATAGATTGCGTGACTTAAAGGACACTCCAAGCACTATAACCACTGCAATGTATTGTAGTCTCTCTTTTTAAGCAGTTTGACATAAACAAAATAACCCTGAAAAAAATAAGATAATCAGCACATTACCCCTCCCTACTTGACAGATCAGTTATTTTAAATATACAAGAAAGGCAACACTTTCTCGTATGACTCAAACTGAAGGGATGTGCACAATATATCAAGAGATCTTCCATTTTTTGCCAAACCACATGGGAACTGCATGACAAAAAATAAGTAGGGAACTCACTCATAGATGCCTTGCATTAAAAAAAACACTACAGTAAGCTGCAGTGGTTATGAAACCTTTAATAAATCAATGATGGTTATGCACAGTCATGTAAAAACTAGTAGACAGGCCAGATTTTCACTACATGTCATGGCATTTCTTTTAGCACAAATATGTTCAATGATAACAGCAAGGGTGGGCTCTAAAAAAGCAAAACTCAAATCGAAAGAATGTGAATTAATTTTTTTTGTGTTGGTTAACTTAAAGAAGGAGCAAGCCAGTTAGGCAAAAGGTTATATCATTTGTTTTAGCATAACACCACTATCAAAATCTGGCAATATGTGTATTTTTTTTTTTTAAATCCTCTTTTAAAAGTTAGTGTTGTGTGAATTCATGTGTAACCTCAGTCTCCTTTTGAAACGGTCATCTCACAGTTGAAGTGTCCCTAAACGTTATGTGCACATAAAAATGTGTCAGATGGTTACTAGAAACTTCTTTCGTACATTCAGCAAAACGATATTCTATGACATATGCTACCTTACACAACATGCCAAACACTACTTCAACCTTAACCCAGTCATGACAAGGGCTTAGGCAGATCCTACTGAGCCAGGACTTACATTCAAGGTCATTAATTATTTAGGAGTTAATGATCTGGTCTCCTTGGATTAAGACCAAGCAGACCACTTTCTCTGCCATACATACTACTGTTCCTGCAAACCCTGATCCAATCTAACCTAGGCTAACTCCTCCTACTTCAATGCCTAGTCTGTCCTTCCTCTTTCTCAGGGGTTTATACACTAAGCTGTAAAACCGGAAATGAAACTGCAAAATTCGTATGAAAATAGTCAAGCCACGACTTTAACGGAATTTAACAATTTTTCCAACTTTGTTACGTGGCCCTGAATATCGAATTTTGTTTTCAGTTCGCCATTTTTAGCAAATAAACTTTTTTAGGCTTGTTCACTAAAATGTAAATTGTCAGGAATCCAGACTGGAAGTAAAATTCTAATTTTAGACCAAATTCTCCAAGTCTGCTATGTTTTTCAATTTAGCTAGGTTGTCCTAAAATTGGAAAATCTCGTTGAATTTCACCCAATTCACACTTCAGTGAACAATCCTGTCTCTCGCTTTGTTTTTCCTCTCCTATTCACTTACAGTTATCTTTATCTACCCTCTGGTCCTGTGCTTTTCCTTATTTATAAAATTATCCTGTGCATCTGCGCAAATAATTCATAATTCAGTTACGCCGTGTACACTTTCGAACAGACTACGCAATTTGCCATTTCTTCCTTTTATATACTGAAAAGTTATTTCAAACACTTGGATAACTTTTTCTAAATAACTTATTTCATTAAAGATGCAAAATATACTCTTCAGAATGCTGGTTGAAAAGTGATAAACTGACATGTCATTTCGGTTGCATGTCAGTTTTGGGCCATCCACAGTTGGCAAGGTTGACATAAACTTTGACTATGAAAGTGTGCATCTCTCTATAGAACGCTTTTCCAGTGAGGGAGAAGTATTTTTCTTTTCTTGCATTTTCCAAAGAAGACTCATCTTCAGATGTAAGTAGTAAAGAGAACTGCCAAGATTACACATGAAAACACATGAGTGGAAGCAGCCCATTGTGCTATAAATTTGTCTTTGGGACACACCACGAAGCCAAATTTAAATGACATTGGTACAGGTGAGTTAATGAGCAGTGCAGTCTCATTGACACCAGTTAATATCAGATTCTGGTGTGCTGGCGTGTAGTTTAAAGATCGTTTTACAAATGCTTGATATTGGGATATTTCCGCTAAAAACACTGGTGACAATCTGTTTTAGTTACTTTTATTGATCCACCTGTACTCAAGCAGAGGATATCTAAAAACCATAGCCAAAAAAATAAATTACAATTGCGTACAACTGTCTTATCTCTATGAAATAATTTTTGCCTAAATGTCCTGCTCCCTTTTAAACCACGCAATATCTTAAAACAGTATTTTAACAATAACATGTGACGACGTGATGCTTTATACAATGCATGTTATTCGATATTTTACAACAGGCACAGTTCACCAGGACTAATGGACTGATTTTGCAAGTAGTGCAAATATAAAAAAAGTTCCTGGTACACAGCCAATAATGTAGTAGACAAACAGCAGTTTTACAGGGAAAAAAAAAACCCATTGAATATTATTTTTGGCAGGACTCAAGTTCTTAAATATTTTAGAATCTGCACACAGAAAATCTCTCTGTAATTTAGTAATAAATATTGCATTTTATCAATAGCTGTAGAAGTTGTAGAAAGTTCTTTTCAGACAATGTCACATGTGACCATATACGCAGGGGCGTATTGTAGGGGTGGGCACAGGGGCTTTTGCACTGAGCAAAAAATGTAAAAAGAAAAAAGTACGTAATAGTAATAATAAAAAAAAAAAATAGTGTGCCCTCCCCTTAACACAGAAAATTTCCTAATGTCCAAACACTCTACACAGTTTTTTCAACATGACGGGGCAAATAAAGGTCGCCACGTAATATTTTACAGTATTATTCATGCCAAATACAGCCATACTGTCTTCATATAATCTTTATCAGTGAATAACATAATGCCTACTTAGAGTGTGATTTCCCATTTGAAGATACTGCTGTATCTGTAGTTGCCTATTAAAGGTTATCATACCAGTACACCAATAACAGGCACCTCAATTGCCTTGCTCCATCTTCTCTACCTTCCTTGTCTCAGTGATGTGTGTGACACTGATAGTTGTACAATAGACTATATACATTATTTTAGGTGTGAAGTGGAGTTTAAAAAGTACGCAACATAGTTAGCTGTGTCTCACACCACAGGGGCGAGGTGAGGCGTATAGGGAAGGAGGAGCGAAGCTATCTAAGCACCCGTGAAGGGACTCCAGGAGTGCCAACGGTCCATAGGTTAGGGGGGGCAAAACTTGCCCTGCACCGGAAGCTGGCAACCCACACTATGCCACTGCATAAACGGGTATGCCTACTACAAGGAATTAGAGATCAATGCCTATGACAAAATGGAAAACAAACAATCTGATAGAACACAGTAAAATTCGATGTCCTGGCATTGATTGTGCACAATAGAATGGAGGTACCTACATTTTCCAACAGATTTACCATTTAGACACTTGATACAGGAAGTGTATTTTAAAAACAAAGTGAGGAAGACATATTTAAGGACCAACATACACTTCACCCTCATCACAGTCTTGTCCCTATACACCTCATATCACCATAGAACATTCTGCGTATTTGATTTTTGCAGTTCCATCCACCCCTGCTGTTAATAGTTGAGTGGGCTGTTTTGGAATAGGATTCTTACAGAACAGACTGTTATAGCAGCAGACATGGGCATTGGGGGTTAAAAATTAATTAACTACTTAAAACAAGACCTAAAACACAGTCTCAGGTTGCTACATAATTTATGTGGCTTGTTTTCGAACTGCAATATTCTGTGCCGATTTAGAAGTGGTCTGCTAAATCTTTTAGCATCATGGCTCATTTCAGTGGAAGAAATGTGAATGTTCCATGTGACTCTGGGTCTCCTATCAGATCTCTTGAGATCTCTACCACCCTTCCCAATTCACCAACAGAAAGCTTTCCTGATATTGTGATGTAAAGGCCAGCCATTGCTTTGTACCTCTGACCTTTGCATGTTTAGGCCTTTTGGACAACTTAAAATTCATCTTTTATAAGGCACTTACATCACTCCAGTTTAGAAAGGCACATGATATCTACACCATAAACCGGTTTATAAAACCGTAATATCTGACATCTACATAACACAAGAAACAATGCTAATCTCGCTGTGTAAAGTAAAATCTTAGACTTTTCATTGAATCTTGACAGGCAGCATGGCTTATGGCTTCTTCCTCCCTCTAACCAGTGTGTGGCCCCTACTGTAACCGAATGGCATAGGTTACACAACAGCATTGTAAGTATTGGAATTTATACACTTTAAAAAAAAATTACAATACAGCTACAAAAAACAAGTTATTAGAGAACAGGAGTAGTACATGAACTAACTGAATTTCATCTTTAACATTAATTCAATAATTCCATTGTGTTCTAGTAAGCTGTTCTCTCCTGTGATTTGTATCTCTAAGCTATGGGAACAGAAAAAGGCCAGGCTGCAGGTATACGCATTGTACTGTGGAGGTATTGGATGTGATAATTACATATTAAACATACGCGTGTGTATATTTAAAACATTTTGACTTTTGGCCTTTTCAGAATGTTGTCTAACGTTGTCGATATCTGAAAAAAGCATAAATTGCAAACACTGCTAATACGGGCAACACGATCATGGTCAATGATATTCCTTCCGTGTCTTTGTCACTCCGGCTACTTGGAACTCCGTTCGCTTGGTTCTGAATCTAGAAAGGTGAGGAATAAGGAAAAAGCTAAGAATTAATGCATTAACCCCAATAAATGACAATTAAAATACTACCATCTTTATATTAATCTTCACAGCAGGTCCAACCTAATAAAACTGGGCTACCAGTTGTTTCCAAACTACAACTTCCATTACCCTTTTTTTTAGCCATTTTCTATTCATTAAATATGGAAATTGATGCTCTGCAATTAAAGACCAGGAGTTCTGATATTTACCTACCAATGATTTAGAGGCTTGTGATTTTTTTAAAAAAATTTTTTTAAAGGCACTATAAGATTTAGCTACTCACTTCAGAACTAGCCATTCCAATAGCATTTATATTTCAACCTTAAAAATCCAGTCCATGTCAGGAAAACCTTTAAAAAAGGGTGTCAGTAGGACCATGCCGCTGTAAGGAAAACTACGCAGCTGTACTATATTGTATGTCTTGGATACTGGCTTTCATAGTCCTTAAATAACTCACACAGGGTTATCCACCAACGTGATAATGAAAGTATCCAAACTGGTAGCATAGCGGAATTGGAGAATTGTTCCAGTTTGGTTACTTTGGTCTTAAAGGGAAACTAGAGTCACCAAAACAACTTTAGCTTAATTAAGCAGTTTTATGTATAGATAATGTCCCTGCTCAATTCTCGGCCATTTAGGAGTTACATCTCTTTGTTTATGCAGCCCTAGTCACAGCTTCCTGCATGTGACTTGCACAGCCTTCCTAAACACATCCTGTAAAGAGTCATCTAAATGTTTATGCTTCCTTTATTGCAAATTCTGTTCAATTTAGAGTTTCCTATCTCCACCTTTGCAGGAGCCTCCTGTTTGTAATTAAAGTTAAATTTCCAGAGCAGGAGATAAAAACTTTTTAAGTAAGTTACATCTGATTGAAAATTAAACTTTTTTTTTTTATTTTATTTTAAATGCAGGCTGTGTAAGTCACAGCCAGGGAAGGTGTGGCTAGGGCTTGATAACCAGCAACAAAAGTGATTTAACTCTTAAATGGCAGAGAATTGAGCAATGAAACTTAAAAAGGCTTGATCTAGAAACTAAAAGTGCTTAATTAAGCTAGAGTTGTTTTGGTGACTATAGTGTCCCTGTAAATTTGAAATTTACTTTGAATTCCCCAAAATTCTCACTTTAGTGATTAGGCCTGGCAGTGACAGGAAGAGGAAGAACACGTAGTGTCCAGTGGGATGTGAGGTGCTAAACAATGTAGAGAATTAAAGAAGGTGTGCCTTGGAAAATTTGAGTGGCTTGGTCTAAAAAAAAAAAAAAAAAAAAAAAAGTTGAGAATCACTGGCTAAGGATAATGCACGGATGATGGAGCAATAAGACAAGAAGGCATTGTTAAAACAATGAGGGCATCAAGGCTGACAGCTTGTGTTTGACTCAGAGAACACAGCCAACTTGTCCACATCTGCTCGGCTATGTTTAGAATTCCTACATGGAGCAGAAAACCGGTTTCTACGGCTATGATTCAGATTTTGTTTGGGAGTAATTTTGGCACAGATGGGTTCAAGCAATATCATAGTTATTTTTGGAACACAGGAACAGTTTTCCCGTGTTGAATTGGCAGAAAACATCACATTACCTATCTATGGTTCCTATAATAAAAGTTTCAAAGATTATTAATATTATTTATAAGACGCCAACAAATTCCGTAGCGCTGTACAGTATGTGGACTGACAGACGTGTATCTGCAACAAGACAAATTGATGCACAGGAACAGTTGATGTTGGATTATGATTTTTTTTGTACTTCATTATAGCCTGAAATGGGGGACACAATGGTTGGAAATATTTACAACATGTACGTGAAGGAGAAGGGAGGGAGGAAATACTTGATAAATGGGAGTAAAAAATAAACAAAGCGTGCTGGGGCAAAAATAATATAAAGTCTAGCTAGGAGAAAAACTGGTCCATTACGCCATGACCAGAGTATTACAGGTGTGCCACAGTCGTTGAGATCTAGGACTTTGATTGCACAGCTCACTACACTACACGTGACCTTTTTTCCCCAAATGTTCATAGAGGGAGATTAGTGGTGGAATGGAGGAAATAAGAAAAAAATTTTACTTTTCTTTTTTATCTTTTAGGTAATTAGATCTTTATTTAGGGCGAGTAGTCAAGTGAATCGTGTAAATAGAAGGGGTTTTTTTTTTCCCCACTATTCTGATTTTTGTTTTTTCCTTTTAACATTTAAAAGCAGACATAACTAAACAGAGGTTAAAATAGTTAAGCCAGGGGGCGTGGCCTGGACACCAGCGAGAACAGCCACATGTAACTGCAGCTCTGTGCAAAAAGGCCTAAACTGTGCATTTGTCCCACAAGAAAACGGCATCCAAAGATCATTACAGCCAAGATGTCTCACCCTAAAGCGAAGAGACATGCAGAGAAGACAGAAAAGGCGCAGTTCTTCGCCCCAAAACAAAATCAACACCGAGAAACCAAGATGGCGCCGACGACATCCAAGAGTCGACTGCCTGTGCATCCAGCAACCAGGTGCCTCTGACTCAGGCAATAATGCAAGAAATGCTAAATGAAATCTCGGCTCTAGAACCTCACGGGTGGAGGAGAAAATAGCCGATCCTGAGGTAGCACACAATGACCTAGCAGACAGGCTGGCACAGATGGCAGAGCGCATTGCAGCACAAGATGTAAAACTAGATGACATGGAGGACAGAAGCCGCCGAAACAACCTGCGGCTGAGAGGGGTGGCTGAAACAGTGGGCCTAAATGATATGGCAGCACATGTCACGGCCTACCTCCGAGCACTAGTGCCAGACATCCCACAAGGCATGCTCCTCTTCAACCACATCCACAGAACGGCAAGGCCCAGGTTCATGCCGCCAGACGCCCCAAGGGATATCCTGGTGCACATACACTACTACCATATAAAAGAAGCTATATTGAGAAGCAGTATTAAGCTAATATGTATGCTAATGTGAATGTTTCTTGATTGGACCCACATTTTGGTATGGAGCACCTGTTCATGACCAACTAAGGTTCAATATTATTTGTTAAACTATTTGGGGAAAGACAAAAGCGCTTGGAGGGACAAGAGAGGGATCTGTGGAACAAAGGGGCTGAGATCCCCGGGTGGGGTAACACAAATGCCCCCGACACCTTTCCCACAAAGGGAAACAAAGTTTCTACCCCCACGGCACTTGGATGAAGTGCCTAGCCACAAAAAGGGCATGGTTTATTTCTGTACATACTTTCATGTTGTTTTACCCAGCGAATCATGGCTCACCGCATGGTCCGCTGGAGACTCTGTTGCGGACCGAGTGGGTGGTCCCATTCCCGAACAATGCAGACAGCGCGCGTCCACAAGGGGGCGAGTGTGCTTGCGACCAAGTTTCTACCAATGCGCCTGTGGGAGGGTTTCAAAGACCCCAGGGGTCAGCCAGCTCTGCTTGATAGCACTGGGAGGAGTGAGCCACCCCGCCTGAGACAACCACTCACAATACACCGCACAACCTTTCATGTCCGACCCTACATGAAAATTTACACACATAATGTAAGGGGACTGAATGTCCCAGCAAAAAGACACTTACTGCACCGTGAACTCAAGAAGCAAGGTGCAGAAGTGGTCTGCTTACAGGAGACCTACTTCCGAACCAATGACCACCCTGCGATCCTGGCTGTGGACTATCCACACCAGTTTCATTCCACTTCCCCGACTAAAGCCAAGGGCACCTCTATCTTGCTGAGTAGACATGTTTCCTTCTCCCTGCATTCACAGCACATAGATCCTATTGGTCGATATGTGGTGATCGTGGGAACGATCAACGACATGATATACACAATTGCAAACATTTATGCACCCAATCAAAACCAAAGGAACTTCTTACACAAAATATTTCAAACCTTGTCGCCTATACAACAGGGCATTACACTAATTTGTGGGGACTTCAACCACATTTTTGACACGACCATGGACACGACCATACATCGATCTAGCGGTAGATACAAGACCCTCAGACGCCAGGGCAAGGCCCTCCAGTACCTGTTGCACTCCTACCACTACTACGACACATGGAGATTACACACCCCGCGAGAAGGCATACACACACTTCTCATCCGTACAGAATACCTATTCTAGGATAGATTAATTTGTCATCCTGGGTTCCCACCTAAATCAAATCAAGACCTGTAACATAGAATACATCACATGGTCGGACCACGCGCCGGTACTCCTGGAAATGCAAAATCTCTACGACTTTAAGCACCGCAGCCCCTGGAGAATCAACTATTTCCTCCTTCTCAACCCGCAGTTCGTGGCAGAACTGACCACACAACTAGAACAGTACTTTGTGGACAACGTGACGCCAGACGTCACACCCACAACGGTCTGGAAGGCCCACAAGCCGGTGGTGAGGGGACTGCTGATAAGGCGGGCTTCGTACCTCCGCAAACAGGCACAAAAAAACTACACAAAGAACTTTATGACAAATCTCCAGAATCAAATCTCTCCCACTGATGATAGGTGCCAGCGCATAATACAAATCAATAGAAGCCTACACCAACAAGCCCTGGAACACACAGAATACAACCTGAAACGGCTGAGACAGAATCAATATACCCAGGGTAATAAGGCCAGCAAACTGCTAGCGCAAAGACTTCGGGCCAGACAGGCCTCGCAAAAGTTCTCCTACCTCACCTCACACGCAGGATTAAAACTCACTACACCGAAAGCCATAAGTGACGAGTTTGCACACTACTATGCAAAATTGTACAACCTGAAACTAGACCCTGCCACCCCCCTAAACCAGTAGAGAAAGAAATGCAGGCATACCTAAGAGACATACAACTGCCCAGACTCACTGACCAGCAACAGATAGAACTAACAAAACCAATAAGTGAGGAGGAAATAATAGTGGTACTGAAGACCTTGCCGGCAGGCAAGGCCCCAGGACCAGATGGGTTAGACAACACATACTATAAAAAGTTCAGCAAGACCCTGGCACCACACCTAGTCAAAGCTTACACACAGGCCATTATGCACAAAACCCTACACTCAGAAACGCTGACCGCACACATAGTCACACTGCCTAAACCAGGGAAACCACCCACACTACTACAGAACTTCAGACCCAGATCACTGCTTAATACTGACGCCAAAATCTTATCCAAACTCTATGCTCGCCGCCTGGGGGCATTACTGCCAACCATCATCCACAGCGACCAAGTAGGCTTTGTCAAAGGCAGGCAGGGGTCAGACAATACCAGGAAGGTACTAAACATTTTACATTGTCTCCCCAAAAGAGCACAAGGGGGGACTGCTGGTCTCCTTAGATGCAGAGAAGGCCTTTGATCGCCTGCATTGGCAATTTCTGTGTGAAGTGCTCCACAAATTCGATATCTCAGAAGGGTTTGTGTCGGTGGTGGAGGCCCTATATAGCTCGCCGGGGGCTCAAGTACTCAACTTGGGGTTCCTATCCGAGCCAATCCGACTGACGAATGGCACTAGACAGGGGTGCCCTCTTTACCCCCTGCTCTATGTCCTAGCCTTGGAGCCCTGGCGGTGAAGCTCAGAGACAACCCGAACATACATGGCATTACAAACAAACGGTAATACATCACCAACTTATTTGCAGATAACGTTCTGCTGACACTCACACAACCCCAAATCTCCCTCCCCTATCTGCTAAAAGAGATAACCACATACGGAAATCACTCATACTACAAACTCAACATAACCAAAACACAAGCCATGGGAGTGGGAGTCCTGAATAGCGTAATGGAGCCCCTATACAGATCGTTTACACTTGACTGGAGACAGGACCACTTAACATTTTTAGGGATAAAACTCACAAAAAACCCGACTAACGTCATAGAGGCAAATTATGACCCGTGGCTACGAAGTCTGGCAGAAACCTTTATGGGGTAGGAGGGGAAATGTTTGTCGTGGATGGGCAGACTGGCCGCAGTGAAAATGGTCCTGCTGCCGAAATTCCAATATTTAACAAGGACCCTACAAATCCACCTACCAAAAACTTAGACAACCTACAAAAATGCTTCACGAGCTTTATATAGGCGCACCTAAAAGGTCAGAGTGGCAGCGAAGGTGCTGTGCAGGCGAAGGGAGGCCTGGGGATTCCGGATGTTAGACAATACTACAGGGCAGCTATCCTGGCCATTATGATTCAGGCTCACGCCCTGCAGGAGGTGCCGCAATGGGTGGAGATGGAGTCATTCTGGGCATGCCCCAGGGGTCTGAGAAATTTTTTTTGGGTACCTCACAAACATAGAAAGGTGCACCAAGATGTGGCACCCACCACCCGACTCTTATTTAAAATATGGGATGCAGCCAGACAAAATTGAGGACAGGACGGGGGCTGGGCGAGAGTAGCTCCCTTGTACAGCCTGTATTTAACAAACCCTGCTTTTGACTACCGCCCCTGGACACAACAGGGATGCACCCGGGTTAGCCATTTGTATGACAGCGACAAAATAATCGACTTCCCAGACATACAACGCAAATATTCTCTGCCACACAACACAATTTTCCAATACCTCCAACTAAAACCCATGCTACAGGAATCTAAGGGCCGAACTGAAACGTTTAGTGCCAAACACATCGAACAGATGTGCACGTCCACGGCACAGCCTTAGGGGCTGCTCTCCTCCCTTTATAACATGTTGATCCAACCACATGCATACCTCCCAGACAGCTTCATGTTAGCATGGCAGGAAGACATGGGCAAAACTTTCACTAAACAGCAGTGGGGAAAAAGCATTCTTGGCACACAAAGCACGGACAACCTGCGCCTCCCACCTGGAGCAGATGTGCAAAAATCCAATACCGCTGGTACATGGTGCCGGAGAGGTTGGCAAAAATCTATCAAAAACACATCTGACGTATGTTGGAGGTGTCAGGAGAGCAGGGGGACAATGTACCACATATGGTGGATGTGCCCAAAGATAGCCAAATACTGGGAGGGAAGTAGGAAATATAGCAGGATTGGTCCTAGACAGGAAACCTAAGATATCACCGGAGTGTGGACTCCTGTTCATGGGGCTAGAGGAATTCAACAAAATAGACTCCCGCTTATTATACCATATACTGATAGCGGCTGATATCCTCATAGCAAGAGCATGGAAACAGGTTCAGGCACCAACTAGGGAGGCCCTCATCCAGCAAATATCCCTGAATTTGGTGTACGAAAAGGGACTAAATAGCACAGATGGGCTTGGAAATTGTCGAAAATATTAAATAATAAAAATAAATAAACAAACCAATAACCAAACGGAACAAGTCACCTGGTAAAAGAGGCGAATTGGGAATTAGAAAAGGGACAATTGGTTCTTGAAATTAAATACCCCCACAGGGGGATGGCGCTACACATGGTCGGAGGAGACTGACCACCACCCTAGTTGAGCACAGTTACCTACCTGTATATAGTTTTAGAGGGTAGGGAGAGGGTGTACCTATACACATGACCACGAGAGCAGACAATCTCTAGGAGGGCCCATACAGCAGTAGAAATGATGAGGGATTGCTCAGGCATAACACGTGTGAAGGTAAAGGACACTAGGTTTATTATACAATGTCACACAGGATATGAGAATGTTCAGATATATTCCCCCCTAACCTAACCCCCTCTTACCTACCTTTTTTTCTGTACCACCCCCCTTTCCCTCCCCCCCCCACAACTGGTAAACTATTCATTATTGTGGAGGCAATGTGGAATAATGCACAATGTACTAGACTAACAGTAAATGTATAAGATGATCTCACAGTAATGTAATAAGTACTTTATTTTCCCTCATCACCCCCGCTTCTTTTCTGTACCCCTGAAAAAATTAATAAAAATTGTCAAATTGAAAAAAAAAAAAAAAAGTTAAGCCCACACTACAACCCAAAATAGAGGAAACGATTTTGTGCTTGAATTAGCAATTCAGTTTAAAATACAATTTGGTGTTTAGTGCATTAACCCCTTAGAGTTTTATCATTATTGCAACTTGTTTTTCACACACAGCTCTCTTTACAATTATTCTTTCAATTATGTCCGGTTAGTATGAGTACCTGGACTTGCTCTTACATAGCACTGGGACATACATAAGGAATACATATGGAAAGTGCTGCCTTATTTTGTTTAAATACAAGATTGCATGAGATGACGGAACCTTTATTCAATCTGATCTACATAGTCTGCTCTGTGACAGATTGTTACAGACCCAATTTAGCTCTTGTAGCAGTGATCACACAGCCAACAAACTGTCTCCCACTGAATGAAGGGATTCCCCAATTCTAATAGGAGAACAACCTCTGCTGGTATAGCATAAACATGACACGCTACACTATCAAGATTTACTGACATGGTTACTACTAAAGAGAGAATTGTTGGGAATTCAAAGGGAATTTAAAAATGTAAGGTAAATAGATAAATTGGAAAAATTACACAGCTCAACTCCGTTTACAGTTTGGCTATTGAGGCCTTGAGTTTCAAATTCACTTTGAATTACGACATGAAGAAAAAAGGTTCCAGACAAGTAGAAAAAGTGATTAATTAAAATGAAGATAAACTAAAATTATTATTTTCTTCTTGCAATGCCAAATGGGACATGCAGCATTTACAGACACTAAAAAAATTTCATTATCTTGTCCACCGGGTTGATGTTAAAAGAAGAATACACCATGATACTTTTACATGAGAATAGAAAAGAATAGAAGACGTTCTAGAATATACAGCAGATATTTGGACTCAGGTTGCTGACCTTGTGAAGAACTTTTAACACCACATGTTCACCAGCGTTCCTGAACAGATTCACCGCATCACCGTGCAAAAGATTGTCTAACTTGATACCATTAACCTGAGAAGAAAAAACAAATAGTATATTAGTGGTTAAATCATGCAGTTGCAGTTCGAAAATAACAATCCCCTTGTGTGAGCCATGGTTTCTACATGTACCTCCGTCAATGCCAACTCACTTGATGTCCCACTGTATGTGCAGAGTCTCGCTAATAATGAAGCAAAATACTTCTCACCACCATTGCGCAGGCACGCAAATTTTACGGTGCAGCCATATTGTAAACACACAATTAAATGTGCACTTTCCACACTCACTCCAGCACACTATTGTGATATTTACAGGTCAAGAGTGCATGTCCATTGTGTTACTGTGCTTTCTGGAATTTGAGTTGAAATGACTAGACTTTTCCAACTTATTTGACCATGGCTAGAGCTAACAGCTCCTGGAATACTTATTTCTCGGTATTTCTACCTAGCTAATGTGGTTGTATGTTATGCCCAGCAATCCTAATAACCAGTAATCCCCCTGCTACTTTGCTCATTGTTATTCTTTTCTCCTATTAGATCTACATCTTGTGAGAAGAGTCATATGGTTATATCCTGTTTGGCAACATTACACCTGAAAGCGTTTTAGGCGTTTGTTAAGTGTCCAAAAATGTAATTTTTAACCGGAATACTAACCATAGATTATCTTGAAAATAAGATGCCAAGAATTGTAAAGCACCTAAATCAACAAAATGAAGACATGAAAAAAAATAAAGTGTTTTCTCTAAAACGGGTAGGCAACCTACGGCACTCGAGGTGTCTTTCCACGGCACTCAAGGCTGCTAGAGCCAAAGAGGCTCTGGCCTGTCAGGAGTCCCAGTAAAACTTTAGATATCTGCTAATACAAAAATGTGGTGAAGGAAAATCCTCAATTTATGCATTGCAGAACGTAGAGGAAGTGACCTCAGATCAGTTCCTCCCAGCACTGTAGTAGAGCAGCCTGCAGCTGCTGTTGCAGCTCCTGTCCTTGACCTGTACCTGGCCAGCCTGGTCCCCACTGGAACCCAGGGAAGCCACTCACACTGCTAGATATACACAGACCTGCAGAATAAGCCTCCCCTCATACAAATAATACAAACAGCCCACACACAAACATACACACAATCCCCACTAACGCAACACCACTAACAATCCACATACATGCACACAATCCCACATGCAGCCTCTCACATGCAATACCCCAAACAGCCCCCACACACTACCAAACACACAATATGACATATCCATCCACACACAATTCCACAAGCAGCCTTCATACACAGCCCACATTCATGTGTATCATAAACGATACCATAAACTACTAATGAACATATACAATAAACTATCTCATATACGCACAAATACAACGATGCAAAGCAATTACAGTAAAAATAACAAGCAGAATACAGCAGTATACACACTATAATTTTAAAAAAATAGGATTGGCATGCTACGGGACATCACAATCCTATATCAGCACAGTGCTGCTAAAAGGTTACCTACCCCTGCTCTAAAACTTTACTCTTCTTCGTACGTCTCTGATCTCTATCTGCATGTTACAGTGATACTTGGCTCACTTTGAATAAAGGTTAGAGGTCTGGTGGGTTATGGTTACAGGAGACCGATCTGGACTACCCGCATCCAATACACACCACGTTTTTCATTATCGCAGGACAAATTCCTAGTAATATACAGCTAGAAATGAAGACATGTATTATAAAAACCAAGAATGCATGACAAAAATGCAAGTTAAATTGATGAGGTTCATTTCAAACCAGACATCTGCTCCACCTAAAGTTATGCCCGGCTCATCCAGGCACATAGAATAGTGTACCTCGTTATGAGCTAGGGTGTGTCCTATGGTTTGAAAAGAAAACAAAAAAAACCTCTAAATTGTAAGATAGATGCAAAGGAGTCTGAGATTAGTTTTTCTCAGACCACAAGTGAGAATGAAGAAAAGAATCCATCCAGCAGATTACATCTCACCTCTAATATCCGATCTCCTTCCTGAAGACGACCATCAATAGCAGCTGCCCCCTTTTCTTTAATGCTGCTGACGTAGATTCCACTGTCCTGCGAGACGTATTGCTGATCTGTGCCTCCAACAATATTGAATCCCAAACCTGAAAAGAAAAAAAAAAGTGTAAATGGAATAGTCAGGAGATCATCTAAAAGAAGGAATTCTCAAACCACTTTCAACAATCACCTTTCTCAGTGAGGGCAACCACCATATTGACTTCATACAAATCATACAGAGAAAGATGCTCTGCTGTTTAGTAATTACCAAAGAGGATAAAGTGAGTTTTCCTTACAAAGTATGGAACCTGCAAATCTAAGAAACTACAGTTGGAATACTAACCACTTGGCTGCTATTATCTCATGCTGATGTTGTACTTGTCCCTAACTTCATCCCTATATCCTTAACTATGCAGTAGACCATAGTGTCACTTCTGCCTAAAATTATATAGTTTTCCGTCAATATTGTACCTAATTCTCATATTATTTCCATACCGCCAACAACACACCTAGCTGTGATTTTATCAGTATAGACACAAAATAAAGTGACCTTATAAATATTGCAGTTACCTGGAAGTGACTGACATCATCTCAGATACTTGAAATTCAACAAATTGTTCCCTTTACCTACTCGTCAAGAAAAGCTATTATGCATTGTCTAGCGGGCTTTTTATTACCGCAGATATATCAACTGCATCTTTGAGATACACTTAACTTAATAGGATAAGGATTCCTGCCAGTCAATACAAAAAATATGGGATAATGTGGATTGAAGCAGAGAAGACGGTAGGGCTAGCATGGATCCAGTTATGTTGGATCGGTTTCCCGGTTGCTGAATGCTGGCCAATCATTTTATAGATTTGGGAATAATCTCGTGACTGTAGCTATCCTCCAAAGTAAACATCCTGATTGTACTCTGCCGTTTTATATATGTTCCATTCTTTTCTACTGCCTCAATAAATAAAAAATAAAAAGCTTGAACGTAATAATATTAAAATCAAATATAAAAACTAATAAAACAAAAATCTTGCTGTTAAACTCCCAATTGCAGATAATGCTATGGCATCTATCCCTTAGGAAGTTTTCCAATGGCTTCTGGCTTCCTATATTTTTAGAATTCTTTGTGACCTAAAGTTTTCTTTCGCCTGCAAAGCAATTCTGGTCTCGATGTGCGGACAACAAACTGTGAACATGAGGATATCTGTTACTACGAGAGGAAGTGACTCGACAAGAGTCATACAATAGACTGTAGTTAGTCTATGGCATTGTAAACTTAAGGTTATCTAAATTAACATTATCTAATGTACTGCAATGCTTAAAAAGGAAGTGTCACGTTCCGGTTCTTGATGTTTGCAGCATAGGCAATTTAGAAAACCATATTAATGCATGTGGGTTGATCAAATAGAATGCAGACAAGTATGTGAAATCAACGTATTCCTGCTGATGAAATGCATAAGTTCCCATTTTAAATAAAAGTAGTCCTGATTTAGGAATATTGTGTTTTTCTCTGGTATCACAGAAAAGGCAGTGTTTACATTACAGCCTAGTAACACCTCTAGGGGCCACTCCTCAATTAGCCACTAGAGGTGCTTCCTGGGGCAGGGTGCAACAGTGTGCAGCACGGACATTTTGTGTCTCCGTCCTCTGAGACGCTGAACTTTCCCAATAGAGTTGCATTGATTCAATGCATCTCTATGAAGAGATGGTGATTGGCCAGGACAACGTTTAACTTCACCCCGTAACGCCTCCTTAGCGGAGATAATCAGAATTGACAATCTCAGCCAATCCAATGCTTTTCTATGGGAAAGAATTGTGATTAGCGGAGGTCATCAATTCTGATGATGTCAGCCAAGAAGTCTGGGGCAGAGCATGGTAAGGGGGTCAACCACCTAAGCAGTGGTATTAGAAGCATAGTGTCAGGAATACATGTTTGTATATAGAGTACACTTGTTAAAGGAACTCTCCCAACACAAACCCTGAGCACCTGCCTTGCAAAGACTTTTCATTGAGTTGCATTTGGGAAGTCTGTGATTGGACAGCCACAGAAAGTCTGAGCAGGGGAAGAAAAGGGATTGCAGTAGCTGCAGATACTTCATCTGCAGCTATTTTAAGCCAATATAAAATAAGCCATATACCCTCACAGGCATTCTAAAACATGATCTGCCATTTAAGAAAAAAAAAGGGCAGATCACGAGGTAGACAGTTTAAATAGGCAGAAAAAACAGTTTGTAATAGCACAGTATTTTAGGTTACGTTCTATTTTAAACATTTTAATTTAACTTTTGCATGTGTCGTAGAATCACAAATATTAAAATATGTTTGTTCCCAATGTGCAGTAAAACAAATGTGTATCTCTGCAGATATACACAGGATTATTCTAACTGTGCTCACCCCCTTGACATATGACTTGGACTGGGGGTACAACTGTCAACAATAGTTCCAATCGATTAGAGATACTGGAGACAGTGGTCCTTGAGGTGACATCTTTACAATCTTTTTGACAAATTGTGTATCTGAAGTGTGACTATAAAGGAAAGTTAAAATCTATAGTGTTTTGTCATGTGGTGGAACGTGTGGGACAGCAGCTGGATGCAAACCTCAAGGGAAATTGTCTAATTTAATGTCTGAAGGAGAACAGGGAATTGCTTCAGTCTAAAAGGTGAATAATGATGCAAGGGGTTTGCAGTGCATCTAATTATATTATGAAACAATGAATCATGAGACCAGTCAGTCAATTATTTTATGTGCAAGATGGTACTAAGGTTAGAAATGATGCTACATGTTAAAAATAATATATTAATTTATAAACATTCAGCTATCATAACTTGCAATTAAACTGCCTTTTCCTTGGCATTCCAATTGAGACTGGCACATTTTAAGTTATAATTTTGTCTTGTTTTGGGTTGGGGTTTTTTCGCCATCACATAGGGTGACTCAAATGTCAGGAACCATCACAAAAAAATAAAATAAAAACAGTAAGATGCTTAATATAAAAAAAAATAGATTAGTCTAATAAATAGTTTTACAAGATACAGCACTACCAAAGAATCCCTGTAAAATAATTAGGCTTATACTGATTTAAAAAAAAAACAAAAAAAAAAACAATGACATTTCAAGGTCCTACCACAACTCCCAAGTCTGGAGTCACCCTGTCCCTGGGTAGCAAAATGTGAGCACATCTTTAAAACCATAATAATATCCTCCCATGATGTATTCCCAGAATACTAATAATTTTGCCTTGAAAAATGGACCTTAATGTTAAAGGAATGTTCCTATTCTTATTTAACAGTTTAAAGGGTTACTCCAATCACCATCACCACTTCAATTATTTGAAGTGGTGATGGTGGTTGGAGTCTGCACATGCAGCAATTCTGATTGAAATTCTGCACTTTTGTATCTGGGGCTATTTGCACCCTTGGCACATGTGACCTAAGCCTCCCAGACAGTGTCAACTGCAATCATTTTATTCTATTTGGGAACTAAAGCAGTTCAAAGGCACCTTTATTATGGCTTTCACACCTGAGGTTTGTTTACTGTATTTCATAGCAAATCCTTTGAGAAAAGCATTTAAGAACTTTTGTAAAAGAGAAAACAAAATTATTCACAAGGGGAAATTATTTGGTACACGGTAGAATCATTGTTATACACTACAGGAGAACAGCAGTAACTTATTTATTATTCTGGTGGAGTAGACGTTTGGCTATAATTAAATAGAGAGTGTTAAGACATCCTTTGGTCCGTCACTATTAAGATTGGACAGTATTGATTGATGTCATCAGCTCTGCTCAGTTCGACTGGTTAGTAGAGTGCCACTAACTGTTTTATTCATTCAGAATTGTCAGGAAGTCCCACCATTTCTCTCTACTTAGTAAATAACGCTGTAAAACTTTGCGCTTTGAAACAGGAATGCAGTCCTTATGGTATATTAATCTGTTACTGTAAAACATCCAATGCATGTCATATCCCTCAAATCAGGACAAACTGATCAGTTTTTATGTAGGTATTTGTATTTAGCTGCGCTAATTGTCTATAAATTAGAATAGGCAAAACTGTTTTGTGTTTTTTTTCCCCTAAAAAACTTTTTTCATTTTAATCATGCTAAATTATAAAAGCCTTAAGACTCATTTACAACCATACTGGTTTATTAAATGAAGTGTGATTTATTGGAAAATAAAAGAGTGAATTTCAACTTTTAAGTCAAAATAGCCAAACTGAAAACAATACTGATTTGGATAATTTCTCCAGTTTCCTTTGTTGGTCTAAACATTGTTATTTAATTTGAATGCATGGTTCACACTATAATGAATAACCCAGAGTAATACATGTTTTTGCATTAAAAGAATGAGGAAATTATAATATAAGCTAATTCTCTTCATACCACCCAACTATCCGGATGTGGTATTTATTTGGGATGGCCAGCCTAAGGAATGCCCATAATGGGTGGGGCCCTAAGGGATGACCATAATGGTTGGGGGTGGGCGGGGCCCCAAGAGATGCCCATAATGGGTGGGGTGAGAAGGGTGGGTGTGGCCCTATGGGATTCCCATAATTAGTGGGGTGGGCAAGGCCCTATGGGATGCCCATAATAGGCAGGGCCCTAAGGGATGCCCATAACAGATGGGGTGGGGGAGGCCCTAAAGGATGCCCATAATGGGCAGGGCCGTAAGGGAAGCCCATAATGGGTGGGGTGGGTGGGGCCCAAGGGATGCCCATAATGGGCCGACTCATCCAAAATAATGGCGGGTCAACCCACTGAAAGGCTGCAGGGGAGGGCCCTAGTCTTCCGAACCATACAGAGAGTGTGGCCGATGTGCTCCCTACATGGTTAAAGTGTCCTTTATACAGGTCCCCAAACAATATATAAAATACAAATCCTAAGTCACACAGTAACTGAGCATAATGCAAACACAAGGAGAAAGGGGGCAGAGAGGGATCAGCTCAAAGAAGAGACAGGTCAGCCTGGTGTGCATTCACCATTGCCACAATGGCTGGGCCCATAGAACTGAGCATGCGCAGAACACTCCTACAGAATCCTGATGTCATTAGGGTAGCGTGAGTATGTCTCATGATACTCTTGCGCTATGCTTTTTGGCTACAGTTTCCTGATGTCCATAAATGCGGGACTAGGGAACAAATTCAGGATGGCATGACGGGAGCCCAGAATCAGTACTGTCCCACTGGATTTGGTTCAGCAGGGAAGCCTTCATAATGGAAGTTGTAAATCAGAATCTAGAAAGAGTTACTTGGTGGTGATGTGTAGCGAACAGAAATGACCTAATCAAGAGAACAGCATACTCTCCCGTTTACTTTAAGTTGTTACATAGAATATTAGATTTAAATACAGCATAATGTAGACACCGCTAAACACCTATTTAGCAGAATAATCTCTCTGTAGTATCAATGAAACCAACTCGAGCACTGTGATTACATTCCTCCCGGGGTGAACATCCCAGCCTGGATATTTGGAATCCCTTATTACACTGCAGAGAGCAGCTTGAACAGTTTCATCAGTGTTTGACATACTTATTTCCATTAAAAAAAAAATAATAATAATAATTCCTTAGGTTTGTTTATGAATGAATTATAAAAGATATATTTAGTATGTTAAAAGCACATGCAGGCAAATCTATATTAAAACTAATGTTCCAAATTTTAAATCTCTGTAATTGTACTAATAGCAAGAAAATGGGAAGCTGTTAATGCAACAAGCAACCAAGAACTATATAAGCAGATCTCTGTGAATTTAAAATAGGAAAAGATGGCCTTGGAATAACTCCAGGTGGGGCGGGTGACTTAGATTTGCTAAAAATTTTGACTGAATGGGGAGATTTGTCTCTCTTTAGTAAATGCATTTTATTGCTTTCCATTGGTTATTTATTAAATTGTGACTTGGCAGAAATACAAAGCATATTTCATATTTTAAGCCAAAGAACTAAACTGGGAATATTCTCTAATTTAGGCGTGTTTTCATTTCACGACAATTCACATTTTGGTAATTAAGCTTTATTAGTGTTTTCCTAAATTCATAGAAAATGGTAGAATAGCAGTCAGTACATTGACACTTTGTTTATAATTTTATATATTTATTTTACTTTATTTATCCCCTTCGTACAGCAATACAGAATAAGCTGCCATTGTTTAATAATAATAATAATAATACCACCACCACAGCGGAACTCAGTAATATTTTTTCCATGTTTGTTTTTTTTATTGAGTTTTTGCATGGTAAAAAGAACAATGGGGATACAGAAAGGAAAGTGGGATTGGGGGTGCTTATTTCCATGTTACACATCACAATTTACGAATCGCAATATTACAATCTCATACATTCGATGCTAGACAATATATACTGTTTATGATGTAGAGAAGGTGTGACGTGCATTATTGATAAGACATTAGTAAAATGGTATCCTTGATGGTATTGTTGGTTGGCCCTCCCTTTAACAACGGAAATGTATGGTGTTTGAGAACTTCTCTAGTGTGTTCGGCTTTGTATGCTGGAGCCATGCACCTGTTAGATTTGTGGAGTTGTGATAGGGTAGTAGGGGGCAGGGAGAAACAAAAAGATGTTCTAACTTGTTACTTAAGATGAACTCTTGATGAAATGTCTATAATAGCTAAGATAGGATGGAGTTTTGTCCTTTGGTCCTGTAATTTACTGGGTATAGGTTGTGCGGGACTATGCCTGTGCCCACTAGGTGGTGTATTTGATGTTTTTTACTGCTGTACGGGATGTGTGCCAGCTTGCCCATCTTTTGTCATATATTTCTGTTTGACCAGTCATTCTATATGCAATTAATTCATAATCTGCTATGGAGTCCAATCTGTTCCATACCTCAGAGGGGGAGGGAGGGTGTTTCTTCTTCCACTGACTGGCTATGCTAGTTTTTGCAGCTGTTAACAGGTTTATAAGGATATAGCTAGTAGTGTCTGATAACAATTCTGGGGACAGATGAAGCAGATAGCATTCTGGTGTACTTGGAATTTTACGTTTCGTTACAAGTTCGATAGCTTCCCCTAGTGTTGCTCAGAACCCTCTTAATAGGGGGCAGTTCCAGAAAATATAGCATGGTGCCCCTGTGCAAGTCACACCTCCAGCAGGTATGGGACACCGATGGGTACATAATTGCTAGTCTTGTGGGCACTAAGTACCACCTCATTACAATTTTTCAATATGCCTCTCAGTGTGATAAATTATGGGATGCCCGTCTTGTAGTCTGTATTGCATGTAGCCAGGTTGGGGTGGGGATATTAACGCTAAGTTCTAATTCCCACAGTTCCATATATTTGTGTTTGTGGAGTGGGTCCTTGTCGTTTATGGAAGTATAGCACAAGGATAGGGGTTTTGCTTGTGGCCGTTTCCCTATGCAGTGTAAACCAAATCTCGTTAGTTGCGATTCCTCGCAATGGCGAGTTTGAAGGGTTTGGAGAATATGTTTGGTTCTAATGTATGTGAACACGTCTCCAGCAGGGAGTGCGAACTCCCTCTGAAGAGCTGGGAATGGTTTTAAGCCTTTTCCGTGTACAGCTGTGCTACTGCTAGGATTCCTTTTTGCCGCCATGGTACCATATTGATATTGTCGGAGAGCTCCAAAATTGTTTGTATGTGGGCAAAGAATATAATATTGTTTACACCTAAGAGTGGACCTGCCCATTTCCTTCAGCTATTGATTAATAAACTCGTGCTGATCAAGGGTCTAATTTTGTTTGTTTTCCATATCGTAAATGATTGCAAAGTGGATTTTATTGTATGTGGGTGGATGCATGCGTTTTCGAGAGGTGCCCATATTGGCGGAATGCTACGTGATAAGATCTCCAGCCCTTGCATTAGGGCTGCTGCTCTATAATATGCTCTAATGTTTGGGATGCCCAGCTCTCCTTTATCTGGGGATAGCCAAGTTAGTCGTCTAGCTATTCTTGGCGGTTTCTTTTTCCAAATGTATGCGTTGAATATGTCTTAAAATCTATGTAACAGTTTGTCATATAATGTTATGGGTATGGTGCGGAATAAGTATAAGACATGGGGTAGTGTCATCATTTTGACGGTGTTCACTCTCCCGAGCCATGATATTCCAGATTTTGACACTTATCCAATTGTGTCTGCAATTTGTGGATTAGCAGGATATGGTTTTCTTGGGTCAACTGGGCAGTTGATTTAGTTAGATTTATTCCCAAGTATTTTAGGGAGACTTTCCTCCAATCGAAGGGGTGCTGTGATTTGACTGACTGTAGTGCGTGGGTGGGATGCCTATAGGTAGTGCCTGCGTCTTTTTAACCCCTTAAGGACAGATGACGGAAATATTCCGTCATGATTCCCTTTTATTCCAGAAGTTGTGTCCTTAAGGGGTTAAGGTTATTTTTATAGTATGATACTTGACCATATAAAAGGAGTAGGTTCATCAAAGCTGGGATGGAATTCACCGGGTTTGTAAGGAACACAAGCACGTCGTCAGCAAAGACAGCTAGTTTGTGGGTCCCAACTGGGGTGTCCAGGGTTTGTTTTAATGTGGTATATGAGCGGTTCTAAGCATAGTAAAAATAATAGTGGGGACAATGGGCATCCCTGACGTGTGCCATTGCTAATATGGAATTTGTCTGAAAGGAATCCAGAGTTAAAGACTCTTGCTGAGGGAGACTGGTACAAGGCCTTAATTCCCCTTAGGGTATGTTGTGAGAATCCCATTTTTAGTAGTGTAGCTTCCATGTATGTCCAGCCCAGGCGGTCAAATGCCTTTTCGGCATCGAGTGCTAGCACTACACCTGTTTGCTTGCTAGTTTTGACGCAATTGATTAAATTGATAAAGTGTCTGGAATGTTCCCCTGCTTGTCTACCAGGGACAAATCCTGCTTGTTCTCTAGAAATTAAATCTGTGAGGTGGGTCTTCAATCTCGATGCCCACAATTTCACGTATAACTTTATGCCTGCGTTTAGCAGGGATATAGGCCGAAAGTTTTCACACTTTATGGGTGGCTTGGGTAGGGTGACCACGTGTGCTTCTAGCATCTCCGTTGGGAGATTACCTGATTATTTAATAGCGTTGAATAGTGTGGTAAGATGAGGTGTCAGGATTGATTCTAGTTTGTGGTAGTAATAATTGCATAACCCGTCTGGGTCCGGCACCATGTGCTTAGGTAGGGATAGAATAGCTTTGCGGATCTCATCTTCTGTGAACGGGTCGTCTAATTGTTTACACGTTTGAGGTGTAAGTGTCAGTAGGGTTATGTCTTTTAAAAAGTCCTCAATGTTTCTAGCGTTAGGATGTGGTATTTTGGGATCTTTTTTTAGATTGTATAGCTCATCGTAATAGTGTGCTAATTCATTGGCAATATCTGAGGGGTTGTAAAGTCGGCCCTTGGTGGTGGATTCAATGTAAGGAATTTTGGTTTGTAGTTGTTTGGTTTTCAATTTATTGGCTAGTGCCTTGCCTGCTTTGTTCACATGTGTGTAAAATCTAATTTTGAGGGCTCTCAGCCATCTTTCAGTAGTTAAGAGTTCTAGGGCGTACAATTCCCTCTGTACATCATTAATTTGTTTTGTCACTGTCTTGGACGGGTTGGACTTTTTCTGCTTTTCTAGGGATGTCAGTTCTTGCTGTAGATTCCTATGAGTGTCGTTTGTACTTTTTTTGTGTTTCGCCCCCTCTCATACATATGCCCCGCAAAACCGCCTTATGTGCGACCCATATAGTTTGAATTGGGATATTCGGACGCTGCCCTAGATATGGTATTGAACACCTGTGGGTTGTCTAATAGGCCCTCATTTAGTCTCCATTTGCCCCTGCCCCTTACTTGGTGAAGAGACCTAAAGATGATAAGCAGCGGAGCATGGTCTGACCATGTCCTTTGTCCTATCTGTATATCATCCATGTTAACGAGGCTACCCTCGTTAAATCAGGCACAGGTCAATTCTCGAATACATTCTATGTACCTGTGAGAAGTAAGTATAGTCTCTCTCTTTCTGGTACATTGATCTCCAGGCATCATAGAAGTTGTTATTAAACAACAATTTACTTAACTCAGTACAGTTTGCGGTTGCGTGTGTGGTAGGGGTTTTATTGTGTTCCCTTTTAATGTCTAGGTCTGGGTGTAGGGTGCAGTTAAAGTCTCCGCAAATGATCGTGTGACCTTGTCGCAGTTTCGCGATTTGTTTCAGAATTTTTGGGTGAAAGCAATTTGGGCCTCATTTGGGGCATACAATGAGACGATCGTTATCACCATCCCATTTAGGTTCCCTACCAGGATCAACAGTCTGCCTTCCTTGTCTGTATATCTTCCAATTTCCTGGAATACCCAGTCCTTGTGAAAGAAAATGGCGACTCCCCTTGATTTGTGAGGTGAGTAAGCATGAAATGCCTGGGGGTAGTGACTAGAGTAGATTTGGGGTGGTTTGCGGACACACAGATGCGTCTCCTGGAGACAGATAATTGCCGCTCCGGATTTATGCATGTCTTTGGTAAGCAGCCTCCTTTTGTGTGGGCTATTCAGACCCTTCACATTTAGGGAATACATTTTAAACGTTGCTAACACCATGTCAGTGTATAAGTGTGTGTGTGCTTTGGTAGTTTAAACCTGGAATTCTCGCAGTAAAACTCTGGGAACCACAATCCCCTCCGGTATTGTGAGCAGGGCTTGGTGTGAGCGTCTTATACCAATGCTCATTATATTCGTGTAGTGCCTTACCCTCATATCGGTGGGTGTTACTGCTGATCGGGTGTTGGATGTAAGGTGTGTGAATTCTAAACCAAGTAGCGCATGGTACGTGCCTGCGGGACAATGCATGGTTCATTTCAATAGAGATCACTAAGCATAATAACATCAATATCAAAACAAGAATTAAACAAAAATTTAAACTAAAAGGGGAAGAACATAGGTACACCTGCATGGTACGCAGGGATATAGGCTGCCTCATATGGGAGATTGCCTTCTCTCAACTATGGGCAGGGGGGGGTGTTGAAAGTCTCCACCGACATTAAGCCTCTACTGGAAATGTAGGTTTTTGAGCCTTCATGTTTTGAGGGAGCATAACTTCACAGTATTTAGAGGACCGTAACACATCTTAATACATCACTAGACCTAAGCCTACAGGGCCGCCACTTAAATATGCACAGAGTATGTTACTTTCGGTTCGCTAATATTATTCGTTTATCGCCTTTAACTGAATGGCAAAATATAGAGCTATCCTTAACTTTTACAGACTATACTGACAATTTTAGCACAACTAACAAACAAGATATTACACTGCGTGCATTATGACAAGTAATACTTAAGTGGTTGGATCAACTCTGGGGTGACATGTTGGATATGTAGGTTCAGTCTTCATTCTGGGCATCAGGTCTTGATGGTGACCCCACCATTGTCCATTCCGTTCGCATCTTTTTCAGCTGTGTTCTCTGAGGAGAATTGTGTCCCATGTTGTGATGCAGTCCCCATTCTTTAAGTTTCGCCATTCCAACTTCTGGTTCAAGGATTGCTTCCGTTTTGCCTTTGTACCAGATGAATAATTTAGTTGGGTATCCCCATCTGTACGGTATTTGGCGATTGCGTAGGGTCTTGGTCACGTTGATAAATTCCCATCTTCTCGCCATAGTAGCCGCTGATAAGTCGGCGTATATACAGATTCCCTGGTACGGGTCTGGAAGTTGATCCAACTTCCTCGTTGCAGCCAGTAGTGCCTCCTTTGACTTGTAATAGTGGAAGCAGGCTTTGACATCTTTCAGCGTGTCCGCCGCGAACCTGGACGGTCTGGGGAGTCTGTGTCCAGGACACGGCTTCACGCTGCGGTACCAGAGTAGTACATAGGGCTCGTAAGTATTGTGGGAGGGCTTCCACGGAGATTGCATCCGTTATACCCCGAAATCTTAGATTATTTCTACGTGACCTGTCTTCCATATCTGCCACTTTCAGTTTTAGGGCTATTTGTTCTTCTTCTAACTTTTGTTGCTGGTCTACCACATCATTGTGGACTGAACATATTTCTTCTGTTTTGGCCTCTAGTCGGCTAGTGCGTTCCCCTAGTTCCTGAATGTCTCTGCGGATTTCTTTTGTAATTTGTCTGAAGTCCGACCTTAAGGACTCTTTTAGGTCCTGCATCATGCTGTGCAGGCTTTGGTTTGTGACAGGGGATTCCCCGTGGGGGATTTGCTCCGTTTCTTCCACTGCCAGAATTCCTGTGTCCAACGAGTCTGTGATTAATGCATTGCCATCTTGTTTTTGCCGCGGGCAATCTTTTTTGTTGGACCGGATCGGATCCGTGATTTTCAGTTGTTTGGATGGTGCCATCGGGTCCGGGGACGTGTTAGCTCCCAAAATAATCTTTTTTTTGGCGCTTTGTCGGCTCGTCTGAGTAGCTTTAAGCTCGGTGGCTCGCAGAGCTCTCTTTCCTTGCGACTACTCCATGTGGTCGCAGGCCACACCCCCGGAACTCAGTAATATAATGCAAAGGAACTTGATGTAACAGAATAGAATCTAATCATATAATGCAATAGAATGTTTGGGCTTTAAAGCAGGATGTGTCATACAAAAACCCACGGCATTCACTATTTGACTTAAAGCGACACTATAGTCACCAGAACAACTACAGCTTATTGAATTTGTTCCGGTTGAGCACAATCATTTACTTCAGACTTTTTGCTGTAAACACTGTCTTTTCAGAGAAAATGCAATGTTTACATTACAGCCTAGGGATACCTGCACTGGCCAATCCTCAGATGGCTGCTGGAGGTGCTTCCTGGGGCAGTGTTGCACAGTTAAAAATACCAGATCCACCATGTTGTTCTGGACATATCACTGATTACACACGAAAATGTCTACCACAAAAAAAAAAAAAACACAGAATGGATTTTAATTGATCAAGGCAGTCACGTGGAGTATTTATTTTGTTTCTGCAGTAATGAATTCTCATGCTTCATGGCATCACTTTTCATGTGCTGCCCACTTCCATGAAAAAGTGATACGAATCCAGGGAAACATGGAGGGTCTGGGAACCATAACTACAGTTGCCTGGAATATGCGAGATTTTAGCAGCAATACGGCGTGATTTTAAAAAACACTGATACGGGCAGGTGAATCTTACACAACCTGCTTTACTCACTAGTACTGAAAACAAACTGCTAAATCAGCATTTTGTTTGCCTTAGGCAAAGTGTCCTAAGTAAGCCCTTTGTTTGAAAGACATACAATGCATTGCATTTACATCCTCCATTCTTTGGCATCACCACTGAAAAAAAAAAAGAAAAAAAAAATCTTAAAACAGGTGAACCCAAGGGAACAATAGCATTAACAGAGCACACCCTTCCCTTACCAGAAAGATCCACAATGGATTAGTTCTAGATTTCAGACACAGCTCCACTAAGCTTACAGTCATAGCTTACACAAACACATCTGGCGTGGGAACATCTATACACATTGCTTTCGCTATATTATTTGTGATCATGGATTAATAGGCAATTACTTTCAAGTACCAGGAACTAATAAAATTTCATTCTAAAAGGAAATACTTAAAGACTGCTCACAAATTAGTTCAGGAAAGAAAAAAAGAAAAAATTCTGCCAACTTTGTTATACGCACATTGTAACAGTAGAATTAAGTAGTAGACTTAATATGGGTCTAAAATGCCTTCGTATAAATATTCTTTAAAACAGAGCAGCACATTAAACAAGTTCAGATATGTACATATAAGGTACAGCATTTAATTGCTTCATGAAGCCTGCGAGGTTAGTTGACGTAGTAACAAATTGAAGGGAACTGAAAATCCAGGCTACAAAAAGCCATTCTGAGACAACAGCCAAGTTGGACAATGTTTAAAAATCAGCTATTTATGTCTAAATTTTGCAATTACAATTCTGTAGTGAATAAACCCGTGTGTTTATTAGAAAGTGGATAATGAACAGGGCAGCGCACACTGTTTCCTAAGCATTTCAGCAGCTCTGTTAATTCCATGCAGTCCAAACTCATATTAATCCCTTAAAGGGACACGCTAAACTAAGTACACTACAGATTAGTGTATCCCACTAACCTGCCCCTTGCACTCTCAGCCAGCCTCCGCCATCCATGTTAGATGGAACAGGCATTGATAATTCAGAAATGTAAATTTATATTATCAACAGGGTTGAGAAGGGGGTGTAGCGGTTATGTTGCTCAGAGTGTCCCTTTAAGGGACACTGTAAGCACTACAGCTACTACATCCTATTAATTGGTTATAGTGCCAGGGTTCCCCTGGCTCTGTCCCTCCATTCAGGGTTAAATCATTTTCGAGCAGTTTAAGAGTAAATAAGGGTCCATGGCCACCCATAACATAGCCCCTTCTGGAGATTACACACATACCAGCACCAGGTGTTGTAGTTGGCTGACACAATCAGACAATCACAGCCACCCATTGCTGCACAGGCTAATGCTTTCTCATTAGCCCTAGCAGAACACAGGGGGTAGACTGCTAGGGATTCACGTTTAGCATTAAAATATTGAAAATAATTTATAGCTGAATAGAAAGATGGCACCAGGGTGCTCCACACATTATATTCACTTTAATAAGATGAGGCAACTACAGTGCCTCGTTATGGAATCAAGCCAGGACTGTTATAGTATAAAACAGAGGGGTACAAACTGGCACACTTGCAGCTGTTGTAAAACTACAACTCATATTTACGTAGCAAGTCTTAATTTGGCCTGCATTTACTGGCTGGTGTAACTCCCGCAATAGCAATAGACCATACAAGGGCCATGGCCACTCAGGCCTCATGGAACATCTGTTTGTGTCAAACAACTACAAAATGGTTTGACACAGAACCGGAAGCATGCTGGCACCATAAAACACTACAACAGATGGCAGTGGTTGTGGTGCCCATTTAAGGCTGGCTAACCATCATAGGAGTTGAAGTTAAGATCTTCAATATCTACAATTCTAAGTTTTAGGAACACCAGCTAGAAAGGAATTTTCAAAACCTTTGGTCCTCAAGGGTTACTAAACCAGGACAGAAGGGAGAATATACTAAGGGAATGTTAAGATATATTCTGCATTGAGTCTGTAGTCCAATTAATTTATTAAGAGCATTTACTATAGGGGGTGAGCCAAACAGAGTGAAAAGTTATTGCAAGAATTAAGCAATTTCTGAACTGGGGGGTGGGGGAGAGTGAAAGAAATCAGATATGATTGTATTGTTTTGGTTAGAGACCAAAAGCGATAAAGTACAGTTCTTGAGAAACATATATCTACCAGAAGGAAATATTGACAAAAATGTTCCCAGAGTCAAAACCATAACCTGTGTACGCACTCTCCTTTAAATATAGGACATAGCTTCTAATAATGATACAAAAATATACAGCTCCTGCCTCACACAAGGTTGTTGGCAAATATCAAGACACTTTTTTTTTTTTTTTTAATCTTTAACCACTTAATGACCAATGTTGTATTTTTGGGGCTCTTTCAGCAGTTTAGTAGTTTATTTAAGATACCAAATTAGGGTGCTGTTTAATAGCTTCCTAATTTGATACACTTATGTGGGATTGCCTATGTGCAATATACTGTTTAGTGAATTTTTGGGTAAAATTGTTTGTGCCAGACAAGAAAAGTGCTACCCTCAGTGACTTTGAACACCACTGCATTGGCATGGCAACATTTTCCCCACCCTGTACTGCTTTTATAAAGACTTTGTAAATGAATGGGCTTGCCTTTACCTCTGTATAGAATTTGTAAAGAGAAAGGAGAATAAAATCCTTTAAAAACAACTGTTGTGCAGAGTGTGAAATTGTCTCCAAGGGCAGCACTTTTCATACCCTGCACAACAGCATAAAAACTATTTAAAATACACTTTAAAAAAAAATCTAATAATTTAGTATCCTTAAACAGGCAGTCCTACATCATTATACCAAATTAGGGGTTATCTACTAAACAGCATCCGTATGGAATAGGTATTGTGTGTGTGTGTGTGTGTGTGTGTGTGTGTGTGTGTATATAAAAAATAAATAAAAAAAACCACAATTTTACAACAATATTTAGCAGAGATTGGTAGTTAAATGGCTACAGAATAAGTGTCAAAATACCCTTAGGTATATAGCCTGTGATGTTTACTTTACATAAATATATACTGTGGCAGTAGTGTTTTCTGTGATGGATATTAAACATAGAAGACAAACAGCCAATTCTAAAATGGTCCCACATTTAAACTGTATTGCACTCAACTCTTATTTTGTGACCAGTAACTACTAAAAATAAACTAAAATAGTTGGACCTAGACATATGAGGTACTCAACTAAGTGAATTTATTTTGAATGATTTTTCTTAAGCTGCACCAATTATGCTCACACTGTTATTGCCCAAACTGTGAAAACAAATAGGATTTGGGCATTTTTTGTAATTAATTATTATTTATAAGGAGCAAACACATTCCACAGCTGTGCAATGGGATGAGAGAGAGACACACACAAATGAAGCCCCTTTTGTCCTTTAAAAAAAAATAAAAAAAATAATACAAGTATATAATATGTATTAATGCAATAAATGAGAGAGATGAAAATTGCATATACATAGAATCAATGCTGAATTTTCTTTGCTCCTTAAGTACAACACAAACAAATGAAGCTTGGTCCTTAAGGGGTTAATGATCCCTGGCATTTAAACTGTTAACATAGTTGGTCCTTACTAAACTGAAGAGTGAGCTGTAAAGCCATGTAATAGGATTTGAATGGTATGCAAAACCTACAGCCATCCAGTTAACGCATTCATTCCCTTGGCATTTACTAAATACTTTGCTTAACTCCCTGTCCCATATAAATGCTCAATGCATACTGATCATAGTCAGCCAGCAGGGATCAGACACCTATGCTGTATAGTAGAATTTAACCTTGGGCAGATATATAAACCACGTGCTGTGCATCCTTTTGGCACACAAAGGGTTAATCCGCAGAAATAACGAACCCAGAATGGACATTTTAGGAAGAGAGCTCCCATATGATTTAATGAAGTTATAATAGCAATCCATGGTGTATATTCTGCCAAACTACACACTACAAAACACAGCTTGATACATTGTTTACTAAATGTTGCGTACATATGTATCATTGTAACACAATTGTGTGTTTGTTGTAACAAAGTATCAAAGAAAAAGTAACAAAGTGTCAGATGCAAGTCTCCCCTGTGCAAGGTTAGAGGAGGACAGATCTGCCCTGTGCTCAGTGCTGTACAGGCCTGGAGTTCCCTAGCCTGCTATAAATGTCTGTCCATGAGAAGTCCTCCCTAACCAGGGCCATGTCACCATGCTGGGGGTCACAGATCAGTTGGGGGGAGGGGGGAGGTATCTACATACCTGAAGGGCCCCTAGACAGCTCGATATCCTCCTCTGCACTCATTGTGGCTTCTCACCCGCCCCCCCTGCAGGTCTATAATCCAAGGGCTGAAGGTGAAACGCACACACAGTACTTTCAGTTTCAGGAGCCAGAGAGATCCCACGTGGGGGCAGAGGAAGAGACATCCCGCTCAGCATCTCGGGAGTTGTAGTTCTCTGGCATGATCTGCATCTTCTTGGTTAACCAAGAGTGTCTCTATCCAGAAACTAATGGCAGTGGGTTTCCCTTTATCAAGAATGTCATGTTTACAGGGTGACTGAATAATATGCTGGGATGTCATAGGAATCAATGACTTTTTAATTTACATTTTTAATCTTACATTTGAATCAGTTTTATATGATGTAAGTGGCTACAAGATTTACTAATGTGAATAACATTGAATATATAGAATGAATCGCTTAAGGCACACTCCAGGGACAATATGTGCTACTATACATCTGACAGATAGCATAATTAAAAAATAAAATAAAATAAAAAATTGCCTAATTGCAGAATTTAATTTATTTCACACTCCAGACAACTTTCAGGACCTGAAATTTATTTCTGGCACCTGGAGGCACAGATTCCTCGCTCAGACATCACACCTTGACAATATAGAAATACTAAAATTATCTGACAGGCATATACAAACTAAGCATGCATGTTTAACCCCTTAAGGACATATGACGTGTGACATGTCATGATTCCCTTTTATTCCAGAAGTTTGGTCCTTAAGGGGTTAAACATTACACGAAGGCACCTACACCACCATCCATTTCTGTGTGTGCTGTGTGTTTCTGTATGTAGTATGGGACTACAAGGGGTTTATTCAGTTCAATCTGAATTGTTGCTAATGGAAATCTGTATGATAAATTTAGGCAAAATAGCCATCCTTTGACCTTATCGGATTTAGATAACTTTTACAGATCAGTTTTTTTTAGCCTGCATTTTGATAATCGTGTTTTAATTGCTAAATTCCACATTTAGTAACGCAACCTTTGTAATTGTATTGTGTAAAAAGATGTATTAATTCATGACTACATAAGCATTGTGTGAATGCATGTTTGTACTCTTCACCAGTATTGTCACTGTGTGTATGTAGTGTTTGAGTGTACAGAGACCTATAGGATTATTTGCTGAAGTGTGAATTGTCAGTAATTCAAAGTGGATTTTTAATTTTGTTGGCAAAATAACTAATCACATAGCTGAAGTTTGGCAACTGTGGCCTAACATTTGAAATGCACTTGTCAATGTGTAATGTTACTTGTTGCAGACTCCTCCACTACGCCTTAATTTTATATTATTAAATGCTGGTCATTTTTTTTTTTTTTAACACCACATCAATTTAGTGACATCAGTCATGTATGCTTTGACAGCAAAATGACACAACCGATAGTATGCGTTCTTGGTCTATTTAAGGCCACATCACTCACTGCTCAGAGAGGGTTCAGAGAAGGGCTACTAAACTGGTTCATGGATTGCGGGATAAAACTTACCAGGAAAGGTAAAATGACCTTAACATGTATAGCTTGGAGGAAAGACGAGACAGGGGGGGATATGATAGAAACATTTAAATATATAAAGGGAATCAACACAGTAAAGGAGGAGACTATATTTAAAAGAAGAAAAACTACCACAACAAGAGGACATAGTCTTAAATTAGAGGGACAAAGGTTTAAAAATAATATCAGGAAGTATTACTTTACTGAGAGGGTAGTAGATGCATGGAATAGCCTTCCAGCTGAAGTGGTAGAGGTTAACACAGTAAAGGAGTTTAAACATGCGTGGGATAGGCATAAGGCTATCCTAACTATAAGATAAGACTAGGGACTAATGAAAGTATTTAGAAAATTGGGCAAACTAGATGGGCCGAATGGTTCTTATCTGCCGTCACATTCTATGTTTCCATGTTTCATAGGCGCTGCTACTGTGTCACTATCCTACACCACAACAACCACTAGAAAGAAGAGACTCTGGCTTGGGTAGTTCTAGATGCCCACCTTTTTTTTTTTTCTATTAAAATTGGCACTAGAAATCCTAACTTTTTATCTGACTCACTGCTCATTCTGCTTATTGTCTAAAAGGGGATAGGCAACATTCGGCACTCAAGATGCTGTAAACTACTTATCACATACTGCTAGCAAAGCATCAGGGAGACAGAGCCCACAACATTTGGAGTGCCGAAGGTTGCCTATCCCCTGGCCTAGAAATTAGCCTGCATTTTGATGGAGATATTAGAGATTCCGAGGAATACAAGTAACTTTGCATCTGGCACAGGGGATGGGTGATTGGGTACTCTCTATAATCAATGTCTGAAGAGTTCTGATTAACATCCCCAGACAGGTGAATCCCATCCATTCTAAGTACCTGCATTATGTCTTGGAGATACCTTGAATGCCCTGCTCACATTCTAATTTGTTACTGCAATACTGGCAATGAAAAAAAAGTAACATGTCAAGGTGAGCATACTTTGAGACTTACGGGAGCAGGTCCCTACATTCCAACAGACTCATCCGACTTGGTTACATCTTGCACTTAACATCCAGCTAGGACTACCAGGTCCATCACGTAATCCCGGACACACAACCTATCCCTACATGTGAAATATGCAGTCCAGCAGTGTGTACAAGTCGTGTGAGGCAGGACATAGATGTCAAGGAGTGATCCCAAATATTTTGTTTCATAGGAATGCTGCTTTCTATGGGGTCGCACAATTCTTGTGCTGCTAATCTGCATGCACAAGTTATATGTCCAAGACAGCATGCTGTATCTGGTCATTTAATAAGAGACAAATATTGCAAGGATAAAATCTTATCAACATCTAACAGAAACAGAGCTCATCCCCCCCCCACCTCCTCCCCCTTACGTTTTATACAACAAAAAAGTGTTTCTGCTAGAATGAGTGATACCTAGCTTGGAAGGTCCAGATTATATGTTAATCAATCCTACACTGAACCTGTCCATCACATGAATGACAAGAAGATAACCTTTAAACCAGTATACATATAATCTACAACAAGCATGTCAAACTTAAAGCCTGGCACGGGCCACATGAACAAGGTTTAAGTTTATGTGGGCCGCAAAAAAAATAAAAAAATCTTACATTTTCATAGAAACGTAGGTTTGTTTGAAAAGTACACTATATATATCAGCATCCCTCTGTACTAAACCCCAGTTTCCCCCTCTGTACTAAATTATAGTCCCCACCTCTACACTAAATCCCAGCACCCCCTCTACTGAACCCCGGCCCTTGTTTAAAAAAATAAAATAGCCAACAAGCAGACTCCACTCACATTGCCGCTGTCAGTATTTGACTCCGGAGTCCAGCCTCTGGTATACCCCCAATGGCGTCGTCCGCACCCTGTGCCAAAGCGGATCCTCACGCTAATTCTCGAAAACCTGTGAAGGTGGAGCACGTTGACGTCACGTCGGAATGTGATGTGTCATTGCGTGCCTCCGTGCACCTTCAGATCCTTCACTGTCCAGCCGCGGCCATCGCAACACTGACCAACACACACTCACTGACAGACACATTTCTACATTCTTGCACACACAAACATCATTTTCTTTATTGCTCCCTATCTTTGGGTGCTGATGTGGGGCACCTCCCTGGGGTCCAGTGGGGATCTTCTTTCTGGAGCTCAATCTTCCTGCTCCTTACGCGTGCAGTTTAGTGATGTCGGAATGATGTCATATTCCAGCATCACTACAGAGGGCGTGCGAGGGAGCAGTAAGACTAAACTCCCTCGCTGACGCCAGGGACCTCTCCTCCCCAGCTAGGTAACTTTTTAGCAGAGTAACCACCTGCAATGTAAGAAGAGCAGTTGCCTACTCTGCCTTAGTAAGCGTGTCTTAAACCCGCGGCTCGCCAGGCCGCATAGATATTCATTGCAGCCTTTAAATCTGGTATAGGTCAGTATAGATACACATGTCTAGGGTTAGTCACTAAAGTGAGAATTATTGGGAATTCAATGTTTATTTCAAATTGAAGCCAAAGTAGCCTAACTGGTAGCAAAGTTGAGTTGGGGGATTTTTTTTTTTCTTTCAGTTGTTATTTTGGCCTCACATTTGATATTCACTTTGAATTCCCGACAAGTGTAATTTTGTCTCTACCTTCCGCAAAGACCTGGCTACACTATAACCTTGGGGTATTACTGTACTTGGTAGATGTAGCACCAGGAATACGGGGTGTACAGTAGATGTAATGCAGTGTGCGATCAAGAGAAAAATAGAAGCAGAAGATGTGATAGTGATAAGAACTGAAAATATATATTTTTTTCATATTTTTTAAGTTTATTAATGGTGTTCTACAAAGGGATAGACATTGGCTTTCAAAATTAAGTCATATCTGTCCTTTAAAAAAATAAACAAACAAAATGGTTTCATTTAATGAGAAAACAACAAATTACATTTGAGAAAATAAAACATATCAAAATGTACAATTTTGCTCTAGTCATGAATACAAATAAACTCAATAAAAATCAGCCATGAAGGGGTGGGGGTGCTTGACAATATACAAGGTCTTCCCCAGCTATCACTATCAGTCTAGAGCAGGGGTAGGCAACCTTTGGCACTCCAGATATTTTGGACTACATCTCCCATGATGCTTTGCCAGCATTATGGAAGATGTAGTCCACAACATCTGGAGTGCCGAAGGTTACCTAGACCTTGCAAATAGATTTGCATGCCATTATCTCTCTTTAGACATTTCTCCTTTGCAGTGTAGCAGAAACTCCAGCGTAAAACCGGTAAACATGGAGTCTGATCACTTACTGGTGCTTCACATGGTGGGAACCTGTACATTATAAGGGGATGGTGGCCAATCACATATAGTCATACTTTTCCTTAAGTTAGTGCTAGTGATAAGTTAAGGATCACACGTGGATATGATTTAAACATTTTTGTTTCACCATTTTCTTTTAAACGTAAGATAAAGTAGAATGTAGAGCTGACCACCTCCTGAATTGTCACAACTTGCTCAGCACTGAGTAGGCACCATGTTCAACTGAATTCATACAAATCTGCAGATGTATTTGGAAATTCTTGGCCTATGAAAAAGGTTTTGTCGGCAGGTTTCCTTCATATCCAGAATATATTTTTCACCGCAGATTTGAAGAAGGGAACAATATAATTCCCACTTTCTGCATCCTAGCCATATTCCCCTTTTCACAAAATATCCTCATGACTGGCAGTATGAATTGTATTTACACAGCTCAGCAAATGAGAGCTCAAGAGGAAGCTGCAGTAGCAATTACTGTCCACTTATTGTCTGCCTCTTTTCCCCTTAGCAGAGTGAAGCCTGTATTACAATACTACAGATCTTAAGAGCGTAAAGTCTAGCTGTGTGGTGGAATCAAATCAGCAGCTCAGACATCTCTCATTGGCTGAGCTATACCGTGTACGTCCCATCAGGAAGACTTTTTATAAAAAGGGAAGTTGGGGACATGTTGCAAAACTTTTCTTTTTTTTTTGTTTGCAAAGCCAGAGATTTAAATATGCAAAAAATGTGTTGCCTTGTGGGCTCAGTTAACCTCAGATTCACTCAAGTTGTGTTAATGTCCAGCGTGTCCATCTAACATGATTACAGACTATTTTCATTCACCTGCAAAGTTCCACACACATTTAGGGCATGACCAACCACATTATGGTGAGAAACCACATGAGTCAAATAATCAAATGCCCCTACAGGTAAACTACAGTCCATGGCGACATTTAAAAAAATCCCCCCCAAAAATTAAAAAAACAAACAAAAAAACACCCACAAAAGCCCTGTCCAGCAACAGAGTAAGGGGTTAGGATTTAGAGGACCACTTCTTTGTTTGTCCATGATATCATCACATAAGCAATAGCGACAAGTGTTCTGGGAGTGTACAAAGAACATCACAGGGTAGTGCAAGTCCCTTGACAACCCATGTGGGTAATCAATAAAAGTATATTAGTTTCTACCATCCCAAGAGCCAACAAATACAGAGGGTGCTTGCAGCTCCATATACCTCTGAATGTGAGCAGATATGCAAGGCTGTACACCACTTAACATTGGATATACTATTATCAAGAGATCTGAATAAGTTTTCTTGTGTGCATTGTATGCATGAAATCTCCAAACCGGTAACTATGGAAAGGTCATACACACAATGGCTGTTTAACAACTATGTGTATTAGAATCCAACAGCCAGAGGGTGGCAGGGAGTGAATTGGACACTTCTGATGTAGTGCTTCTTTCAATGTTAGGTAGTCTTTTATTTTCACCATACGAGGTCTACCCCCACTTCACGATAACAAGTCTAGGAATTGTCAGCATCCCATCATTTAGTGGCAACTACAAAGCACATTACAATTTCTGTTTAAAGATTTCAGCACTGGCTCCATTTTGATCTAGTAGATTTGTATTTCAGGCAACATAGTAACATATGTCTTCCTAAATGCAGTTATAAATAGACGGAATCTGATCATTTGTCTTGGATCCAACTCAGGCATCTCTGATGATGAAGTAGGTAGAGATAAAGTTGCAGACCATACATGTAACATGCCACATACAGCATTCATACGTAAAGTGGCTCTGTCCCCTTCTGCATATGTTGCATATTTTGCAAAGACCCCCCCCCCCGATGACAAAATCGATTTTTGGTGTGCGGTGGCCTGGGGGTTCATCAGAGGGGAGTCAAACTTACCCGATATCCGCCACAGCTGCTGCCATCTTCGTTCTTCAGCTCTTGGCGCTTCATCTACCAGAAGCCCATGTCAGTTCTTTACTCACGCACATACTTGCGAGTACAACACTGAAGTCTATAAAGGAACTGGCAAGAGGCTCCATAGATCTTATCTTCTGATGAGTAAGATAATGCCTTATTGCGTTGGCAAGTGACTAAACTTGATGGCAGTAGCTTGGTCTTTTGTCACTGTGTTGGAATTTCAATGAAATTCCAAAGCAATCTTTATGAGCAATTTATAAATTTCCTATTTCAGCTTTATAAAATGCTCAAATTGTATTTTATTGTTTGAGTGGGGGTGACAGACGCTTTAAAGGGATACTACAACCACCAGAACTACTGCAACTTAGTGCACCAGTGATGGCACTAGAAAAAGTAGGGGCACACTTGTTACAGTTTATGTCAACATATTTTCAAACAGTTTAACAAAATGAACAGTGTTCATAAATCCCTGTTCCTTGATTTATGAACCCACATCCTCAATTGGAGACATCATCATGAGGAGGTTTTTATTAACCAGAATGTTGTAAGCACACATAGCATGACTGTGAGCAAAGGGTACAGGAGGATTTGCCACACGGGCTTCCTGCTTTTTTGAGAAATTGTTTTGAAAATGTTTTGACAAAACCTTAGGAGGTTCCATCCATAGCCTCCTAGTACCATAACCACTACAATAAGTAGTTACGGTGCTTGCAGTGTCCCTTTAAAAGATTGAGTATTGGGAGTGTGTTTGTGAAGCATGTTTCAGTCACTTCATTAATGGATATACTCCTATTCTGTAGTTGATTTAAAATGCAACCACATCCTGCTACTGGAGTCTCATTCTCTTCTCTGGAGGGCCTTTGGGGGTTGTTGCTTGAGCAGGTTTCGCTGGTTCTTTTTCTTCCTGTTTAATGGTTTCAGTGGGAGGTTCCTGTTCTTTCTTTATTTGTTCAACTGAAAAAAAAATGTAAATATTAAAAATGATTTGAAGTTAATATTAAACTCAGCATAGTTGTCACACTGCCAATAGTCTATGAATCCTTATCCTTAATTTAGAAAACTTAGGAGGCCAGGCTAATTTTAACAATTCCTATATCTCTTACACATTACGTTCCAATATTATAAGTTCTCACACAAGCCCACATTAGCATATGCAAGTTTTTATTTTATTTTATTTTTAGAGAGAAGCTCTGGCTGCAGCAAGGCCCAGACTATTTACCAAGACTATGATTATATTTGTTGAATAAATTCAAAAGCACATTTGTGAGGTTTCTTGTTTGTATGGTGTTTGATTGGAGGTAAGCAACGTCTAGTGGGCTGAATAGGTGCTGTGACTCACTGATGGGTCAATCGACCCAGAGATCAGCTCCCATGTTCTATTTTCTTGTTAACCCACTGCCAAAATGTTTTGCACAATGACCCGAGATGCTAAAGAGGACTGTCTTTATTGGCAACTCCAGAGATAGAAGTATCAGCTTTATGAACAAGCAAACTCATGGAACACATTGTATTGGATGTTTAAAACAATTACTCACCAGGTACTGGTTTCTCCCCAGGCTTTTGCTGAAACATAAAATGTGATCTGTTAAGACTTTTCAACCAATGATATTAAAATTAAACATAATAGCCAAGAGCTTGGTAAATTATTTTATTAGGAAGCCAGACTTCTTACACATACCCTAACAGAGTGTAAGTGTATTTTAGTTTTTATACACAAATGAGCCTATTTATAAAGGGAAAACTGGATAAATCCTACTGCAAAGTGATACAATAGGAATAATCAGCAGAAACATTCCTCTGGTTTTTTACTGTGATGCCTCACCAGTCAATGTTTGTGCACCTGGTTTGGTGCATGGTGTTGCCGTCATAAATAAACTTCCTTACAATTATCCCCATGCCTCTCAACTTTCCTTTTTTCAGGGTCTGAATGCATTGGAAAATGCTGGTGGACTTTGGAGATTAGGCCAGGGATTAGATTAAAGGGGTACTTCAAGCACCATGGCCACTTCAGTGTTTTGAAGTTGTCATGGTGCTTGGCGTTTGTATGTGCAGTATATCACTACGAAACACTGCACATACAGAGATTTAATGATGTAAGAGGTGTATCATCATCTCTGAAAGCATCATTAGTACATCCATACCCTGCCGAAACAAGAGCTCCTGGCTGGCTAATGTAAATTCAATGCACAGTTTGTCATTCATTGGCTGAAAACACTGAGCTGATCGTCTCAGCCAATGAATGACAGCCGGCAACTGTAGAGGCTTAAGACGCAACACTGGCCAATGGAGGACCCCCCCAGCGCTTGGCAGGACGCCTGTCACATGGCAAACTGTTGCAAACCTGTTTGTCCTATTACCAAAGAATGGGGACAGGGTTCTCCTCATATCATAGCCACGGCAGCAAGCTGTAGTGGGTATGATGATGGAAGTAACCCTTTGAAGATCTCCAAGAGTTCTTGCTTGCAGCTGTCACTGCAGGAATAAAAATCTCAGCTTTTGTGAAATAGCTGAACACAGACAGGTATCTTCAAATTTCTATGCATTTCCTATATAAAGCATTGATAATAATTGGAATATTCACACTGCTGGATCCATTCAGCATTATGGAGATTTTAACTCTATTGAAGCCTGAGCAGCACACTTACCTGAACAAACACCGGAGGGAATTTTTGTGTGAGTTCCATTAGCAATGTATCCACTCTTTGTCTTTGGAAGTGGGAACTGGCTTCTACTTTTTTCTTTGCCTTTGGTTTTGCTTTGTCTAAAAAAATAAAAATAAATACATAAGTTGTGTTTAGTATCCAAGGACCAAGTGGACTGAAATAACCATGACATCTGACGCAGGGCCAGGGTGAACAAGTGAAATTAAAGTATCAGATTTTACACAACTCTTAGGGTCACACAGCAAACTTCTTATTGATAGACACTTTTTTGACACATTGTGTATACCAAATTTCAAGTCCTATGCTGGTAGCCAAACCTTATAAAAATAAATACATTTTTTTTTTTTGTGAATATAATTTTTATTTGTATTGGTTAGTCGAAGACTCGCAGGTCTCCAAGGTGAGTTATCAAAGGATATGAAGGCATTTGGAATATATCAAAAACAGTAACTTTTAGTCGGGCTCGCAGGCCCACAATGTTGACGGACTTGCAAGTCCCTTTTAACTTATTTTACGAGCATTTCTCTATTACAGTTCATTACATTTATTGCAGTTGTAATTTGTGTGCGGGTTATACAGAGGCTCGTCGGCCTTTCGTCCGACTTACTGGTCAGGGTGACCCGACTCCCTGTGAGTTTGACATTCAAATCTCATGTGTGCCCTCTCATTGACTTGTGTATCTACCTGGATTGGGTTTATTATCTCTTGGCTTTCCTCTGGAGGGGGGAAGGGAAAGTTAGGGTTGGGGTAGGAAGGGGTGTGAGGGTAGTCAGTCGTCGCCTGTCGTCAGGTGTGTGTTCCCTAAGTCCTTCCTGTCTGTGGTGTGGCAGTTGCCGATTCTAGTTCCCTTTGGAATCCTTCTTCCGCCGTCTCTAGGATCCAATGTGTCCATATGTCCATGTAGGCTGTCGGGGAAGTGTTAGTCGTCAGGGTCAGTTCCTCTATTGTCCTCAGTTCCTCCATTTGGCTAAACCAGATATTAAGTGGAGGTGTTATGGCCTGTTTCCAGAATTGGGGGAGCACTCGTTTGGCTACGTTGAGTATTCGAATAGTCATAGATTTTTTGTATTTGGAGTGAGGGGTAGAAGTGTGGTGTAGGAGCATTGCTGCCAGTTCCAGGGGGGTGGTTTGTCTGTGAATTTCTCTAGCATTTTGTGGATGTTTTGCCAGTATGGTTTGATCTTTGCGCTTTCCCACCATATGTGTGTGATACTGCCCTCCTCTTGTTGGCATCGCCAGCATAGGCCTGGTTGGTCTGGGTCTATCTGGGGTAGGAAGTGAGGTGTCCTGTACCATTGTGTCAGAAGTTTGTAGGCTGTCTCTTGTGTTTTGCTGTGCGTAGAGCAGTGGTGTGTGAGGTAACATATGGACTCCCATTCCTTATTTGTCAGCGTGTATCCGAGGGCATCCTCCCATTTCCTCATAAATAGGGGTGTCTCGGTCGGGATGTCCGTTTGTAGCATGGTGTAAAGGAAAGATACTCCATGTGGGAGCGGGTCTGGGTGCATACAGACCACTTCCAGTGTGGTATGTTGTCTAGTGAGCGCTGAGCCCTGTGGTAAGGTATGGACGAAGTTGGTTAGCTGGGTGTATCTGAAGTGCTGCATGAAAGTCGGGTGCGTCGCTGTCGTCATGTGTCAGTTTTTTACATTTCTCTCCCTGCAGGACATGGTGTAGGCGTGGGTGTGGGTCTGGGAGGATGTCTCTAAAGGCTCTTGGGTCTTGTCCCGGGGGGGGAAGTCGACGTTGTGCGTCAGTGGAAGAAGGGGGGAGGGGTATGGTGACATGGTCCCCTTCCTCGCTATCTTCCTCCATACTTTCATGGTGTGTTTTGTGTATATGGACATTTCGCCCCATTTTGTCGGTTCACGTCCCCAGGGTAGTCCCGAGAGTGGTCTGCCTGCTTCCGCCTCTTCTACCGTCTTCCAGAGTTTGTGCACGCCGTCTTTTGACCACTCCACAATTCTCTGGAGGTGTGTGGCCACATAATATAGGTGGAGGTCTGGGAGGGCTAACCCTCCTTTATCCTTAGGTCGTGTCAGGGTAGAGAATTTCACTCTAGGTTTCCGTCCATTCCATACGTATCTGGTCATTTCTGTTCTAAGGGTACTGAAAAAGGGGCCCGGGATCTCAATGGGGATGGCTTGGAGGAGGTATAGGAGGCGTGGGAGGAAGTTCATTTTTATTACTTGGACTCTCCCTAGCCATGAAATGTGGGGGTACGACCATTCTCGCATGTCTTTTTGGAACGTCTGGAGTGTGTCTGTGAAATTTTCCCTGAACATGTCCTCACTTCGGTTGGTCAGCCAGACTCCTAAATATCTAATTTTATGTTCGGCCCATTGGAAGGGGAAGCTTTGTCGGAGGGGGTTCGCCCGTGCAGTAGGGACGCTTACGTTAAGGATATAGGATTTGCCGTAGTTAATTTTCAAATTGGAGATTACCCCATATAGCTATAGTTCCCTCTGTATGTTTGGGAGGGAGATTTCAGGGTTCGTTACCAGGAAGAGTAGGTCGTCTGCGTACGCAGCTACCTTGTGTTGCGTGTTGCCTGTTGTCAGTCCGGTTATGTCTGTGTTGTGTCGGATGTGTGTGAGGAATGGTTCCAGGGCAAGGACGAATAGAAGTGGGGAGAGGGGGCAGCCTTGTCTCGTGCCGTTATGTATTGTGAAGGCATCAGTTAACGCCCTGTTGACCAGCACCTGGGCCGTGGGTTCTCGGTACAATGCCTCTATCCAGCGTCGCATTTGTGGCCCTAGTCCCGCATGGGCGAGTGTTTCAAAGAGATATGTCCAGCCGACCCTATCGAAGGCCTTCTCTGCGTCTGTTGACAGCAGGATAAGGCCCCCTTTCGTGCCTCCTGTCCCATGCATGAGGGTAAGTGCCCTGATGGTGTTGTCTTGAGCTTCTCGGCCTGTCACGAATCCCACCTGGTCTGGGTGGATCAGTGATGGGATGTGTTGCGTGAGTCGGGTCGCCAGGATTTTGGCCAGTAGTTTAATGTCGCTATTTATAAGTGAGATCGGTCTATAGTTTCCGCATTGTTCTCTGTCTTTGCCGTCTTTGGGGATAATAGTAATGTGGGCTGTTAGGGTTTGTCTGGGGAAATTGTTCCCTTCTCGTATCGAACGCTTCTATCATGAGTGGATATAAGTCTTCAGCGTATGTCTTGTAATATTTAGTCGGTAGGCCGTCGGGTCCCGGGCTTTTGCCCGGTTTGGTTTGTTTAACCGCTAGAGCTAGTTCCTCTATTGTGATGGGTTCGTCAATGACCTCCGCTATCTCCGCGTCAAGTGTCGGTGTCTGGTATTTTGTCAAGTAGGCCCGGATAGAGTCTCTGAGGTGTGTTGTCGCCCCGTTGGTCTTCGGTTGGGGGAGCGTGTAAAGATCGGTGTAGTATGTGCGGAATGTTCTCATGATGTCTGTCGGGAGGCGGTGTAGAGTGCCCTGTTTGTCTCTAATTTTATCAATGTATTTGTGTTGCCTCTGCTTTTTCAGCATCGCGGCTAGGAGTTTGCCGCTTTTGTTCCCGTGTACTGTGAAGAAGGTTTTGTGCCTTGTTGCGTCTCTGTGATGTTTAGCCTGTAGTAGTGTGGCTAGTTCCCGTCTCAGTTGTAGGAGTCGGGTTTGGTGTGTGTGGTTCGGGGTTTGTTTATTTAGATTGTCTGTCTCCTGTATATTGGTCAGCAGTGCCTGTAGTCGGGCTTCAGTCTGTTTCTTCAGTATTGCCCCCTGTTGTATGTAGTGGCCTCTTATCACGCTTTTGTGTGCTTCCCATCGAATCGTCGGGGATGTTTGCTCTGCTGTGTTAGTCGTCAGGTAATCCTTGATTTTCTCACCTATTAGGGTTGTGACCTCTAGTTTGGTAAGTAGGTATTCGTTCAATCTCCATTTCGAGGTCGTGGGGCGATAAAGTGGTGATTTAAGTTTTAGTGAGACTGGGGCGTGGTCTGACCATGTGGCCACTCCGATTGTTACTTCAGACACTAGGGAGAGGTCATAGTGTGTGGTGTAGATGTGGTCTATTCGGGAATAAGAGTTGTGTGGGTGGGAGTAAAAGGTGTAGTTTCTTACGTCTGGGTGGTGGGCCCTCCAGCAGTCCACGAGTCGTCGACTCCGGAGTAGGGATTTAACTGTTTGGAGTTGTTGAGTGGGGATGTGGGAGGTGCCCGATGAGTTGTCCCATGATGGGTCAAGAGTTATGTTGAAGTCGCCCCCCAGTATAAGAGTCCCTTCTGCGAATTCTTGAAGTTTGAGAAGTGTCTGTTTGAGGAAGCGGTAGTGTTGTGTGTTTGGGGCATAGATGTTTGCGAATGTGTACTGGTGTCCCGCGATCTTCCCTTTAAGGAATAAGTATCTTCCTTCGTCATCCGTTTTGCATCCCCCCTCCTGGAACGGCACCCTCTTGTGGAGGAGTATTGCTGTCCCCCTGGCTTTACCCCCTTGAAAATCGCTATAGTAACCTTGTGTGTAGTGCTGATTAGTCAGTTTGGGTCTATTCCCTTTTTTAAAGTGGGTTTCCTGTATCATTACTATAGAGGCCCTCTGTTTGTGAAAGTCTCTCAGTGCTCCTGTTCTCTTCTCTGGTTTATTTAGACCTTTTGTATTGATTGTAAAGATGTGTAGGTGGTCTGGGGTCAGTGCCATCCCGCCAAGTCAGGTCGTTGTCGACGGGTGTTGTGAAAATGTCTTTGTCCTGCGTTCCTTTGGTGTGTGTAGTCTCAGGAGGTCTCACAGTCAGCTGTCGGTGTCGGGTTGGGGGGTCAGGTGTTGGGGTTTAGGTAAGGATCAAGGGGTTGAGGTATTGGAGTAGTCTGAGAGGTTCTCAGAGATCTCCGTGGTTTGCGCCACAGTGCGTGGCGACTAGGTAGTAGCGTCGGGGAGCGACAGGGCCCGGCACCACCTGTGGTGTCCGTGCAACGCTCACCTTTCGGGTGACGCCTCGCCTGCTGGGCGGTGGTTGGGTGTCCAGTCGCCTGGCGCGGTGTCCTAGTGGTGTATCTCGAAAATAAATAAATTATAAGCCACTACAAGGATCCATGGCACATTCTCCAAGAATAGAGAAGTTGACTTTCAACAACCACTCTTAGAAGGACACTCCACACCCACACAACATTTCAGCTTGCTGAAGTGGTTTGTGTATGTAGAATGTATGACACTTTTTTTTCCTTTTTACAAAGAGTAATAGAAATTGGCACTTTTGTAAAAATACCTAGTTACACGCCGTTGGTTTGTCAGACAACACATCCTGTTACTTACTCGTTGCTTAGTTCAGTAGTGCTATACTCAAGAGGCAGGGAATTGCCCAAAGTACCAATTTTGCAAAGACTTCTCATTGAGGTGCCTTAGGAAGTCTCTGATTGGACAGTCACAGAACATCTGGGCGGGGCTAGAAGGGGAGAGTTTGCAAAGGCTGCAGACAAGAGATCTGCAGGTTTTACAAGCGGTATTTAGATATACCCTTAATTGAAAAAAAAGGCATCATTAAATGAATGCACGTTTTCATTGTTTCTACTAAACAGTGACTTTTAAATTGGCAGTTGAGCGTACCTTTAACAACAAGTCTGTTAGAAAGGATTAATAAACTGACAAGCTGTAAGGTTTTATATGGTAAAAGTAGATGGAGGCCAGAATGTTGCAAGTAGCTGAAGAAATACATGAAACACAGTACAAATAGGGAATGAGCTGAGATGTTGTCGGACTAGCCATAAGGTCAGGACGGGCAGCATAGGTTCTCAAACGAGAAGGACAAGCAGAGGATCAGATACCAAATATTTGGACAAATCAGGATAAGCACACTGAAGTGAACACCACATTTAGCAGAGTACAACCAAGCACTAGGAGACAGGCTGTTAACTAAATGTAATGGAGGATACACCCATCCACGTCATGACACACCTCCCTGCCCCTTTGAGAAAAGTAAGCACCCAGTGTGTGCATGTCTAGAAAGGTTGAATCTATTAGAGACTCAGCCCACCTCTCCCCGAACTGGAGAAGCCCTCTCTGCCAATCAGCAGGGCGCAAAAAGATCGCAACACTGCTATTGAAGCAAGATGACTATCAATTCATGGTGTCGAATTGGTCGGGCCAAATCCACCCAAGGGTTGGCGTCTCCACGAGGGTAGGAGGAGATGTGGAGACCTGACCCAAGTACTGTATCCTTATACACATACCATAGAGTGGGCCAACACTCCGAGAACTAAATAAAAAGATAAAGGTTGCAGAGAACATAAATGCTTACGATTTATAGATGGCACATGAAATATTAAAAAGCTGTAATGCGGATTTAAAATAAAAAATAAAGCACATAGCTTAATGTAAACCACTATTGCATTATACCTTTCCTGTGACGTGTGCACTAATCACATTAATATATTTTACGGCGAATCAAGGATTAATCTGTGATTATGTAAACTGAACTGATGCAAGGATGTGCAGCAAAACCTGCACTGTGAAGAGCCTTAATGATTGAAGCTTGGTAAAAACAGCTGTGCAGGCACTAATCTCTTTAATAAGCCTTGTGAGGCTTTCAGGTCTCAATACTGAAAGCCTCTCCTAGCAAACATATAAATCAAATGTGAAGTGTCAGGTGAGAACTTCGGCAATGCAGTATGATTGCCGGAATGCTCTAGGTTTCCGCTCAACAACACAGAACTGCTTACCTCGCTCTTCTTGGTCTTTGAAATGCCACCAGTAGCCTTTGGATGGGTGATACCGGCAGTACGACATGGCTTCATCAAATGCAGACTGGATCCCGTGAACTGCAGTCAGCTGTGAAAAATGAAATGTGTAGTATATTACATCATGCTAGGGAAATACCAACTACTAAGAAATTGTACAAATGGGGTGGGAAATGTAAGAAAAATTCTTGAGATATTTACTAAACTGGGGAATTGTTTAGAACTCACAAGAGTAAATTTTAAGTCAAAACAGCTAAAATGCAAACATAGTGGAGTTGAAGATTTTTACAGCCCTGCTATTGTGGTGTGAAGGGACACTATAGACACTACAATCGCTTAACTGAAGTGGTTTTGTTACTTGGAGTCTTCTAGCACCAGCTTAGTTTTCAGCATTAAACGTTTCAAATAGTTTGGCACTGCATAAGTGTCCTTCGCTGCCCCGACCCCCACTAGAGTTACACATACGTTTTTCCTACTTACGCTAGTGACGGGCGCCAGTGCACTTGTAGAACCATAACTACATCCCACTTGTTTCATTTTTTATTTGTTGCATCTGTGCTTGTAACGAGGCTCGACGTATTGTATAAATCGATCTTAATTTTTTTAACTGCTGCACTTATAACTAAGCTTGACCTATGGTATAATTATGTGGGCATTAGATGCATTGCATTTCAACATACATTAACATATTTTTAAAGGTGTATAATATACACAACATTACATCAAACATATTGACAGAGTATATTGCCAAAGTGCAAAGAAACATTTACAGTGTTCAACATAATGTAAACCACACATCTCGTGTCATGGAACTGTATCCACTTAAATCTGCATACATTATTCAGTATTTCACAAAAGCAATTGATCACACTGGTCTGCGTAAATTAGAACTCAGAAGAAAGTAAATAGGAATTTAAAAAAATATATATAAAAAGGAATGAAATTGGATCATTAAAGGTTTTCTAAGGGTTTGTGATTCACCTCGGGATATATGAGGTACAACTTGGGTGGCCTCCACAATTTACATATACTAATATACTTCATATCAATAATTCAGAGAACCACCACCTCTAGAACGTCCCACTTAATATAAATTTCTGGGCATAGGTTTACAGATGGGGTGTTTTTTTTTTTTGTTTTTTTTTTTACAAAGAAAGTCTGAAACTGCAGCAATTCAATGAAAATGCCGTCAGGAAGGTGACTGTTTTGACCAACTTCAAATCAGGAGATAAACCCTCTATCAAATAGGTTCTTTATGGTAATAATTGTTCTGTTTGCCCATGAACCAATATCTAGCAAGGGGACCTACAGTTTAAACAAGGCAAGAAATGGGGCCACAGATGCCTTGTTTCCACTGAGCGGTTCGGTTCGGTACGCTATTTTGAGTGTTTCCATTATGAAAGTGGGCCATACAACCGAACTGTACCGCACCATTCATGGTCCTCCTTCAGATGTAGGGCCATAGGAAATGGTATGGTTAGGGCGGAGCTACTAGCGTCACACTATACAATCCATTGATTGGCGGACAGGAAAACGTCAATGCTCACGACAAATGACACGCTAGGCACTTTTTCTAAACCCCGCAGGGCCCTGAAAGTCTGACTTGCAGTGGAAACGCTCCCCTGAATTAGACCATTCTAAACCTTCCAAACTGTACCGACCCGAACCGTTCCGCTCAGTGGAAACGAGGCATTAGAGTACTGGCAAGATATAGGTTTCCTTCTAAATAGACATTTTATTCCTTTACTAAACAGAGGTTACGGTCTTATCCCCTCCTCCCTGCATACGTTTTTGCTTCAGATTCCTCTACCTCTTATTCCCTACAGCTGGAATGAATCATTGTCACATCACTTTGCTTCTTTCATGACCATTCACACATACATTCCTTCACCCTCCACAGTTCAATACGTCTCCTGACTAATAGACATCCTCTTCACCAGTCCCTTTTTGTCAATTATTCCCTGTGTCCACCACAGAACCCAAACCACCCTGTCCTACACTAGTCTTTCCCAAAAACCTAGCCTGATTTCATCCAATTCCACCAAGTTGATGAGCTCACTGAGGACAGTATAATTATTAAAGGGACACTATAGGCACCCAGACAACTCCTGCTCATGGAAACTACAATGCGCATTGGCCCCACCCCGTCGGGTGATGATGGAGGAGTCGGAGCACCGAGGGAAATCGGCATTTGAATCGGCTTTCAGGACTGTGGGGGGAGGGTGTGTGAGGTAACTATACTGTATCGACTACAACTTTATATTACTTACAGTATAGAATCCCTGTATTGAACACACAGTATCCTAAAATAATGATTATGATATTAGAAGTGACTTTGAAAACATTGCAAATAGAAGCATATCAACCTCTGTTTGTGTGATCTAAGTCAACAGATATCACCTGAACACTTATCTGCAAACTGGGGCAGTGTAAAACCCGCCTTCCATTACACATAGAGTAAACCCAATTCAATTAAGATCTAGTGGAGAATTAAGCAGATTTGCATTGATGCTGACATACTGAAAGCTGTGTTTGCCTTTATTTAATTTAAAACATAGATGGTGCCAATGCTACTTGTCTTGGTTCCTTATAAATAGTGCATAATGGGAGACAAATGAGATGCTCTAATTGCAGACAGACCTTACACTATATTCCAAAAATCTGTTTTCAAATGAAAAATTGTTCATTCTTGACAAATCCCAGACACCAGGTCTCCATGGCGACAAGGAATTTTGTCCTGGCGCCTGGGATTTGTGAGCCCATTCCATCTGAGGTGGGCAGCTGGTCGGCTTCACATTCTCTTGTGTAATCTCTGTTCTCTGGTGCGCCACTTAGTGATGCCAGGGCCAGAGGGACATCATATACAGCCCCAGCATCACTAAGCAGCGTGTGAAGGAAAGTATTGGGAAGCTATTGCACATGCACAACGTTTAGCACTGAGATAGGAAGCACTTTAGTGCCTTCTAAGTGTATGCCACTAGGCAGTGTTTACATTGAAAACCCTGCAGGAACAGGCTATGGACACCAGAACACTACATTGTAATGGTCCCGGTGATTATAGTGTGCCTTCAAACATTTTATTTTTGTCATTGAAAATAATCTTTTGTAAGTTTAAAAAAAACCTGTCTTTTAAACTTTTTTAGCTGGTTCCTTGATTCAAAGCCCTGCCTTAGTGTGAGTCGGGTTTAACACAGCAAATATTTTTTCTAGCCTAATATCTACAGAAGAACAGTAAAGACAATAACGATACACACAATGTTATTTAAAATACACTTGTAGGGTCGGGGCCTGATGTCTGAGCCGAGTGGACGTGTTTCTCCCTAGCTCCTGCTGAATTGAGCTAAAACCAAGCGATTTTCGGAAGAAATCCCAGCCAACCGGGATCCTGAGCTACAAGCTGACTCTTAAGTAAGCCAAGAGCAAGCTGTCCGGACCGGACCCCCATCTTAAGCAGCAATCGTATCCCCATCAGAGGCCTACCTGAGCGGGCGCTGGAGGCGGCCGATCTCCCGAGGCGGTGCCTGCCACATAGTGCTTCACTTCAGGAGCACATAGCTTCCCCCCCCCCTTAGGCTGGCGTGGGTTATCCCGATCCCCACAGGGAACCCATATTTAACACCTGATTAAAGCGCAAACGGAAGCCTGAAAGCCGCGTGGCGAAACCAAGATAGTCGCAGCAGTTGATACTCTGCAAGAGATCCGGCAATGGAGGGAATCGTTCAACGCACGGTTTGAGGCACTCTGCCAGGAGTTCTGGCGTTGCCTCAGCAAGAGACCACGGTTATGGACCCCTCACGCTGCAATACGGAAACAGCGTGAACCCAATAAAGGCGACCCACCTGCACAAAAGCCTCCCAACATGGCTCCCTATATGCCGGGGCCGAGAGCCACCCAAGGCGCTGCTTCGATCCAACAACCACCACGGGCACGGAAAAACAAATGGCGACGGCGGACTGCACCACTCTGAGCCTCTGTCCGCTCCGGGGGAGGGTAAAGACCTGGACCCCCAGGAGTGCCTGAATTAGTGAACCTACAAAACGGGCCCCCAACAAGCCTGGGGTCAGAAGAAATATTAAAGAAACGAGTATGTTTTCCTGGCACTATAGTGGTCCTTTAAGCAAATTTAATTATTTTACTTTTACAAGTTTATAACTTTATAATAATTTCTTACACTAAGCATGTTAACAGAGAGCCTGTTACCTTATAGCCTATTTAATAGGATCCAGCAAGTTTAACTATTTTATTTTTACAATGCTTAGCATACACTTAATATCTAGCTGTGAAATATGCTTTCATACTTAATATGCACCTTCTCTGATAAGGTTATGGTTCAGTTAATTTATGTTAATTTAATTTTAGTTTCCCGCCTACTGACACTGATAACCTGTAATGCTAACCCTGCTTGGTGGTGACTTACGGTACTCTAATAATTATCTTGGCTACGCACGAGACCCTTTAACCTTGTAATAATGTCAGTAGGTACATCTGAAGCTGTAACTTGTAAGCAATCAATTGTAACTGATATGCTGACTTACCTATGCATGAAACTACATCCTATAATATTACAAAATGTGCACTGTTTAGATATGCCATACAATTGTTTTCGAATGTTGACTAACACGCTGGCAATAGCTATTGTGGCATTGCTTGCCTTGTATTTTTTCCTTGCATGAAAAATAAAGAATTATACAAAAATATATACTCGTAGTTCATGAAAGAAATCTTACTGCTCTTGAATTGATAACGGATCCCAGGTCTGGTGCTTGATAAATCACTCCTGCGATAATGTAGTAATCAGCAAGCGGAATAGCTGCATTAAAACACAAAACGGCATCTCATTAAAATATTAGTAGTTTTTAAAGATACAAAAAAAATATAGGATTAAAACCACAGAAATCACATTAAAGGTAAACTAAACTGCACAAATACAAAATAAAAGTAATTGTGGAGTAGATATGCCTCAAATGAAAATTGCATGCATTTCATTACGCATTTTTCATTGGGGGGTATAAGCTACGAAAGAACTTGCAAAACCTCCCCTTGTAGCCCCGGCCAGACTTTCTGTGGCTGTCCAATCACAGACTTCCCAGTTCAATGAGAACTGTTTGTAACACAGATGCTCTGGGCAACTGTTGCCTCTTCAGTTTAGCTCCACAGAGCTAAACAAACCAGGAGGTTACAGGACCTGGGTGGGTGGGTGTAAATTTCCACTTAAATCTGCACTTTTTTTGCAAAATGAATAACATAGGACACAATCTTCACACAAAGCTTTACAGCAAGCTAGAGTGCATTAGGGGTCTGGAGTGTCCATTTACATCAGGCACAGTTGCAGATGACAGGGTCAGAAAAGGAGGAATGCGGGAACTTCAGATTTCAAAAGAAAGGTGAAATATGTAATATAGAAAGTATTATTGGAGAAAATTGGTTAAGAGTGTGACTTAAAAAAAATTAAAAAAAATACCAGGACTGTACAACATATAAAAAGACTTTGCACTTAGTTGTGTACTGCAGAAAGCAAAATTCCTAGCAAATGTATAGATTAAATTGTTAACTAAAGGGGAGTTCCTGGCCAACACAGAGCGCTGCATGCAGATCCACATAGCTGAATTTCAAGAGGCAATAAGTTGGTTCCACAGGCAATAAGGAATTAATAATAATATAATTTAACAATCATTCATTTTTATTTTCAATAAGGATTTCTGAGATCCACCACCTTTCAGAGGTCTGATACAGTGAGAGGGAGGGAGTGGGTGGGGAAAGGCTGCCATGTCTGTGATACAGTTAAAGGGGTGTGTCAACTAAGAGTGCATGCATGAGAAGTGCAGCACGGCTAATCATGCACTCGCCACACATTCTTCCAGTATTCCTAGTAACATGTGACGGAGTCACCTGTCTGTTGGGTGATGTGGTAGGACTGAAATTTTCACAGTTAATTTTACAAGTGAAATTTTGACTACTTCAATCTACTACTTAATATCTTATGTATCGGTTATAATATGGGTTCCAAAGATATACATTGATCAATCAATGAGAAATTGGAGGTTTGATACAAGATTGTGAATATGTTAGGTTCCAAACCATTTTAAATATACACTTCATATTAATCAGACCCCGGGCAACTGCTCTTCATAGGTTGTCAACTGCCTTCCCCATATATCCGAATACACAGCCTCAATGCAGGATTGTAAAAAAAATAGGCAAAATATTAGTTTTTTTTCCCCTTTCTTTTCATACAGTCAGCTGGCAGCTCTCGGCCAATGTATGCAACTCTGTGCACAGAAATATGCACAAAATTGGCATTAGCCACCCCGTAACGCTTAATCCAGGCTGGCTATCAATGCCTCAATGATACTGCCGGTGGTGAAGTCACACTTTGGACAACAAAGGTTTTAAACTCTATATATGCAGCATTTCACAGTGAAAAGATACATATGCAGACACCAGACACTATAACCACTATCCTGTATTGGAAAGATGTGAGCTACTCTGTAAATCACAGACTCTGAATGGCTGCAGTGTTTAAGATATCCCCACATACACATTGAAAAGCTGTCAAGTCAGATATTGTGAAACTTGTTACAGCTTGGATAGGTAAAAAAAAATGTTTTGGCCTCCTGTTTTAATCTTTTTTAAATACAAAGTATTACTTTTATCACTCTAAATGACTGAGCTTTAAGGTAGACAATGGGAATGTCCCATCACAATTATGTACATATATTAGAACCCCATTCATTTTACTATTTAGTATAAGCCCATATTGATTCAGCAACTTCAAGGATCTAGGACTCCAAAGGGGCCAACAGTACCAGACTGTCTGCTTCATCCTTTAACTCACCTTGTGTTGGGGACTGTCGCTGCTGCTTTCTGATGATAAATAATATGGGTTCCTGTGCATGTAGCAGAATATATTCCACACCAACCATCTGGCTGAAAGACAATGAACAAAAAATGAAATAGTGAGAACTGAGTATGCGGGAAAATAGAATTACAATTGTGTGGAAAATGTGGAGCTTGCTAGATTTATTCCTACTCAAAAATGAGTGTGAATTCCATTAAATCAGGATCATGATGGATACATTTCTGGACTTTTGCAAGAGCATTAATGTCTATGTTTATTGAGGATTTTATTAAGTTTATCAGCCTAATCTACACAAACATGGCCCTCTGCTGTACATTCATCTAGGAGAAACAAAATAAAAAAGTACTTTTCAGTTAGCCACCTGCCTTAGAATCATCAGTACTGAGGCTATTGATTGGATTTGAAATTATCAGATCTGAGAGTTAGTCCATTAGTGTCATGGGGTTTCAGCACTGAAAATATATTTTCAATTCATTGACACCATAACTTGTTATGCCTGCAGTGTTACTGAAATAAAACGATACCTGTTCGCCCAAAACCACAGCAGTTGCAAAGGCTAACAGTGATCAGCATCTGTTTAGAGCGATCACACTTAAAAGGACACAGTCTTTTGGGTGAAGTGAAGATGCATATATTGTGGAACTGAACTCCGAACAGATAGTGATCACTGTTACTACATCAGTTAACAAAAAACCTCATTAAACACTACTACCATCAATGAGGTCAGTCTGCAGTTATGACAAGCTATGGTGTTACTTCAATTAATTCAAATCAGTTCAGAAGCAGCAGGAGAAGGTTAGTCTGATATGAATGTTACTTCTCAATTAGCCATCGTCCGCTCAGCATTGAGGATCCTGAAAGGAGATGGTGTGTGAGAAAGTAATAATTTCAGAGAAAATTATCATTGAGTTTACGCCTTAAGAATCCATAACTACATTTCTTGCAAGTTGCCTGCAGGGGATAAGAAAACAACAAAAGAAAAACCTCAGTCTAATATTTAAAGCATAATACATGTAAAATGACTTACTTCAAATGTTCAAGCGTTAACCTTTGCATTTTAACAACCTCATTATTACATGTCCTATCATAGAATGGGTTGCTTCGCTCTGAGAAGTAGTCCAGAACTGTCCCGCTGTTCAGTATAGGAATCCAGGAACTGTCCACCCATGATATACCCAATAAATTATCTGCAAATTGGAAAAAGATAAAATAATACATTAGATTATTTAAAGGACCACTATAGTGCCAGGAAAACAAACTTGTTTTCCTGGCACTATAGAGTCTTTAGGTCCCCCCCCCTCCCTCAGGGTCCCACTCTTGCTGGGCTGAAGGGGGGGGAAGGGCTTAAACTCTTACCTTTCTCCAGCGCCAGGCTCCCCTGGCGCTGGGGAACTCTCCTGCCTCTTCTGACGTCAGCGCTGAATGCGCATGCGCAGCAAGAGCCACACACGCATTCAATCAGTCCATAGGAAAGCATTTCTCAATGCTTTCCTATGGACGTCAGCATCTTCTCACTGTGATTTTCTCTGATTCTCGCTGAAGCACCTCTAGCGGCTGTCAATGAGACAGCCACTAGCGGCTGGAGTAACCCCAGTGTAAACATAGTTTACAGCAGGCAGGGTTAACCCTAGATGGACCTGGCACCCAGACCATTTCATTGAGCTGAAGTGGTCTGGGTGCCCATAGTGGTCCTTTAACAAAATACTGACACAGCCAAACTATTCCTAAATAAAAAAATAGATAATCATAGATAAACCAAGTGCAATACCTTTTTAAAGTGTCACTTATAAACATAAAACTTAAGGTGAGTTATCTGAAATGTTATTGTGATAAGATAGGTTTATATTCATCAACAGCAATGTATATTCTGTTAAATAGACACATAGTGCATGTAACATGGTCCTTATTCAATAAACTATCACAAAGCCGCAATGCCTGCCGGGAGTACACCCGACGAGTATTGATATACTTTATATAAAAGCTCAAATGAGGAGCTGAACTACACACCTCTGATATCCACAGCAGCCATGTTCGAACGTGTGAACTACTTCCGGCCCATGACCAATGACGTAAATTTGGCAAGAGACTGTCTCAGTGAAATTAGTAGTTTAGCGCGCCCTCTGGTGTCTGGAAGAATCCCAACATCCATAACATTCTGTAATCTGCATAGTTACAGATAGGAACATTTAAGTGAAAAGTTAGTAACAATATTGAATTATTATTTTTTATTGTGTGACAGTCATAATTCATATGTTCAGGGAATTCATTTGAATTGTATTTTTTTTTTAAATTGAAAAATTTAGATTTTTAGCCATTTTATAATTAAATTAGTTTATGTACTTTGCCCACACAAAGGTATAGAAATATTTTCTGTTGTGAACAGAGAGTTTTGCAGAAAACTAAGTATTATATTGTTATTTTATTATTTAGTGTATTGTCATACATGTTCACAGATAGTTTTAACTAAAGGTTGATAACCATAGTATCTGGCTGGCACTGAGGCTTATTCACTTAAAGGGACACTATAGTCGCCAAAACAACTTTAGCTTTATGAAGTGGTTTTGGTGTATAGGCTCATGCTCCTGTAGTCTCACTGCTCAGTACTCTGTCATTTTAGAGTTAAATCGTTTTTGTTTCTGACCATGCAGCCTGAAAAATAACTACCAATGCTTAAAAGGACGCTATCGGCATCCAGACCATTTCAGCTCATTGAAGTGATCTGGTTGCAGTGTCCCATGTCCCTTAACCCTGCAAAGATAATTATTCCAATTTTTAATAACCTGCAATAATTACCTACAATAATTTGAAGCTTAACTCCACATCCAATGGCTGTCTACCAGACTTCCCGGGTCGTTAGGCTACTTTTGGATATCCAGCGTCACCCGAAACTCCATAGGACAGCATTACACAATACTGACGTCGGCAGGGCCGGGGCGGAGGCAGAGCCTGAACTAGCGCTGAGGGACATTGATGCTGGAATCAGGTAAGTGACAGAATGGTTTTTTTTTGTTTGTTTTAGACAGTCATAGATCACAGTACATGCAACACAAGTATAACAGGTAATCACAGGGCATCACAGTTTGCAAAACATGTTCCAAGACAACTACACGTACAGAGTTATCATGTGAACATGATCTGGGTCCCGATTGAGGCCCAGACCGCCACAGTTATATCTGAATTAACCGTTACAATGTAATCCATGCGACTAACCTCCAATGAGTTACCCATGTGACTGCCTTTTTATAATAAAGAGGAACTGTAAATGAATAAATTAAAACCATAAGCTGCTTCTGATGCACCAGCCATGGAAGAAATGATTGCCTAAGTTTCAGGTGGGCCCCTGCCCCCAGGAGATCCACATTCCGTGCACCAATCGATGAGACAGTAAGGGTTTTTAACCCCTTCAGCACCACAGGAGGAGGTGTGCAACAGAGGTCGGCACTATAGGGAGCTATATTGTCAGGAAAACAACTTTGTTTTTCTGGCACTATAGTTTCCCTTTAAATAGGGAACACAAGGGGGGTGGGGGCGGACCGCCGACGGGATCAGACGTGCTCTGTCTGAGCTCCCGCTTTGGGGCAGGAAAATCGGCGCAAACTGGAGGCAAAATCTTTCCAGCAATAAGTAACAGAGACTAAACAGAGCCCCAGATTCTGTGGTACGAGGAGATACCCCTCAAGATCCTGTCCGGCGCCTACAGTAACCCGACAAAGGCCCGAGGCGTGCTGGAGCTTGAGCCGGGATGAGACTGACGCTCTCCCGGGTCTCCGGTTGGTGTCTGGCCTTCCCCCCCCGTCCCCCTCTGAACCGGGGGGGTCATCCCGGTCTACATAAGCAACTGCTATTACGCCAAGCTGGGTGGAAAACAATCACCCTGCTGGGAAACACTCACCAGCAGCACCCTCCCAAGATGGCCGCCGCACACCAGCCACATGTGCGAACTACCCACAGGATGGAACTTGCACACAGAGGAAACCATCCAGCGCCATCTGACCACCACAGTAACCTGCTCCAGGGATGTGTCGGCTAACTAAACTGGGCTAAACAAGGTGATGTTTGCAGCATATATATTTGGTGGAAAAACTCCTTAGTGCCTGTGGAAAGCACCATCACTCTCCTGAGGCCCACCCTATCCCTCCTGGAGGCATCTACAGTAGCTGCAGCTGCATCCACGCTTCTCCTGTGCGACACAGCACACCACTCACCGCCTCAAGGTGCACCCTTTCCCTTACGGACAAGCAACCTTCAGAGCAAGCACACTGCCAGCACTGGGTATCAATTAAACATACCCACGTAGGTCCTCTAACACATAGTCTAATTTGAATGTGTTACATGATTGTGATGCAGCTCACCATATGCAAAGACTCTAAGAACTCTGCCATAATCTTGAGCATTCAGGACTTTATAAGATCTCATCCAAAGGACTGATCCAGTAGCTTTATGGTACAACTTTATTCCACCTTGCAAGAATCACTTTTAAGTTTTCCTTTCCTTTTTTGCTTGTTGTCCTAACTAAGCTCCTCTCTGCCTTGCAAAACACACCTCTTATAACATTGGTCCCAGCAGGCTCAGATAGTAATTATATGTGTCGAACCCATGCACAGTGCTGTATATGTATATGTCCACTTAATCCTTGTTGGGTGCAGATAGCAAAGTGGCAGTGCCAATAGGTACTGTCATGGCAAATAAGCCCAGTTTCACTCATAACTACTTAACTTCTTTACTAAGTGTCATGCCTGATTTGTCTCTCCTAACTACTTACTCTAATCTAAAAATGTGCAACAATACCAATGCCATAAGGATGTCTTGCTATGTATATCGATCAGTTTACTCCTGCTGTTGTGGCATAGCAAATGTCTGTTAATCACATGCACAAATAAAAAAGAATTAAAAAAAAAAAAAAAACAGGGAACACAAGACATCAGGTTTGAAACAATATGTAAAAAGAGACTTTAGCTTTTACTGTTCCCCATCTCATAACATCTCTTCATAATTAAAGAGCTTACTGTCCTGGTAGGTACTAATGGCTTGGTGTTAAAATACAAACCATTAACATACGTTCAGTGAAGTAGAATTCAAGCACAGAAAAATAATCATCACATGATTATATAGTGAAATACAATTTTCTGTATACTTTTAAGACATTTAAGTGTAACTGTCCCTAGTGAATTCATGCCCAAGCTGAGCGGCATTCAGTTTGGTATGGGCTGTACAATTTGTTTTGTTTTTTACATTTTTGATATATAATGTTTTTATTCATTAAATCAATCCCTACAGTGGCTGTACGTGTGACATATGCACCCACACAGCACTACTGAAGGGATAACAAAACGCACATTCGCTCACATTACATTTCTCTGTAAATAACTAAATGTACATTAGTGGATTGAAGAAACCATAGGCCAGCAATGTCGCCCTTGTTTCACACACTTTAATGAGTAATGCTTTATGGACAATTCTCCATCAATGGGATTTTAATGTGTTCAGCATTTGACCAAGACACCAACCCAGTCTGCATACAGCCACAGCCTTAGCTCTGAGACCAGAACCAGATAAGGGAGGTTGATACATGAACATTATGTGCACATCATATAAATATTTTCTACATCAGAGGATGAAGTACAGCCTTCTATAATGTCTATAATCAGAGGAGCCTAATAAGCAGCTGTGTTGTGCAGAGAGACTGGGACAGTGGGCCTCTGTTCACCTTAATCTTGATTAAGCTATGATCACAGGTAATTATGGGGCTTTGAGTTACGCTTTAAATGGATGAATTTACAGTCCTGTTGTAAGATAATATAAAAATAAACATACATATGTTTTCCCATTTTTTTAATATTCAAGTAGTTTGCTAAAATTGCTTAAATTCATTTGTTTTTCACATCAATCTACATTCGGCATCCCTTAATGTCAAAGCAAAAAAGAAAAATTGGAAATATCACATTGACATAAGTATTCAGACCTTTTAGTATGAAACTTTAAATTTAACTTTGATGCATCACATTTCTCTGGTTCATCTTTGAGATATTTCTACACTTTAATTGGCGGTCACCTGTGGCAAGTTCAATTGATCGGACATGATTTAGAAAGGCATAGAGGCAGGATTGTGTCAAGGTGCAGATCTGAGGAAGGTTACGACATTTTTGTGGCTGCATTGAAGGTTCCCAAGAGAACAGTGGCGTCCATAATTCATAAATGGAAGAAGTTTGGAACAACCAGGACTCTTGCTAGAGCTGGCTGCCTGCCTAACTGAGCAATCACAGGAGAAGGTCCTTGGTAAGAGAGGTTCAAGTATGCAATGGTCAACCTTGGTGAGCTCCAGAGTTCATGTGTGGAGATGATCTAAGCCCTCTTGGAAGTTGCAAAGAAGCACCCTAAGGACTCACAAACTAAGAGAAACAAGATTATCTCGTCTGATGAATTAAGAGTTGAACTGTTTAGCCTTTATTCAAAGCCTCATGTCTGGAGTAAACCAGGCACTGCCCATCACCTGCACAATTTTGGTGGTGGCATCATGCTTTGGGTTATTGTTCAGAGACCTGAACTAAGAGTGGATTAAGGGGAACTCTGTCCAATGCCTGGACTTGAAAGCAATCTAGCATCTCTGGAGAGACTTGAAAAACTGACAGAGCTTGAGAGGTGATGCAGTGATGAATATCAGAAACGACCTAAAACCAGGTGTGCAAAGCTCGTCACAGCATGCCCAAAAAGATCGCTAGCAAAGAGGCTTCACCTAAGTACTGAGTTGAGGGTCTGAATGCTTATGTCAATGTGATGTTTCAGGTTTTTTTCTATTTGTGCAAAAATATGGTTCTTACTTTTTCGTTATGGGTCCATGAGTGTAGACTGATGTGAAAAAAAATAATTTCAACAATTGTAGCATAAGGCTGCAACATAAAAAAATGTGAATAAATTGAGGGTCTGAATACTTTTTGAATGCACTGTATATATCATTGGGATTTTAATGTGCGCAGAAAAAGTATTGCACTTCAGGGACTGAATAGTTGTTTAAAAATAAAACGTAACTTTTATTCCATTATATCCATAATATGTTGACAATATTTTATGAATATAATGGAATAAAAGTTACGTTTTATTTTTAAACTATTTAGTCCCTGGAGTGTGATCCTTTTTATAGTACATTTGTATTTTTTGCCAGTCA